GGTGGGTGGGTGCACCGTGCATCCTTTAGTCTACTTGAAGTAGGCGTTCCGGTGGGTGGGTGGGTGCACCGTGCATCCTTTAGTCTACTTGAAGTAGGCGTTCCGGTGGGTGGGTGGGTGCACCGTGCATCCTTTAGTCTACTTGAAGTAGGCGTTCCGGTGGGTGGGTGGGTGCACCGTGCATCCTTTAGTCTACTTGAAGTAGGCGTTCCGGTGGGTGGGTGGGTGCACCGTGCATCCTTTAGTCTACTTGAAGTAGGCGTTCCGGTGGGTGGGTGGGTGCACCGTGCATCCTTTAGTCTACTTGAAGTAGGCGTTCCGGTGGGTGGGTGGGTGCACCGTGCATCCTTTAGTCTACTTGAAGTAGGCGTTCCGGTGGGTGGGTGGGTGCACCGTGCATCCTTTAGTCTACTTGAAGTAGGCGTTCCGGTGGGTGGGTGGGTGCACCGTGCATCCTTTAGTCTACTTGAAGTAGGCGTTCCGGTGGGTGGGTGGGTGCACCGTGCATCCTTTAGTCTACTTGAAGTAGGCGTTCCGGTGGGTGGGTGGGTGCACCGTGCATCCTTTAGTCTACTTGAAGTAGGCGTTCCGGTGGGTGGGTGGGTGCACCGTGCATCCTTTAGTCTACTTGAAGTAGGCGTTCCGGTGGGTGGGTGGGTGCACCGTGCATCCTTTAGTCTACTTGAAGTAGGCGTTCCGGTGGGTGGGTGGGTGCACCGTGCATCCTTTAGTCTACTTGAAGTAGGCGTTCCGGTGGGTGGGTGGGTGCACCGTGCATCCTTTAGTCTACTTGAAGTAGGCGTTCCGGTGGGTGGGTGGGTGCACCGTGCATCCTTTAGTCTACTTGAAGTAGGCGTTCCGGTGGGTGGGTGGGTGCACCGTGCATCCTTTAGTCTACTTGAAGTAGGCGTTCCGGTGGGTGGGTGGGTGCACCGTGCATCCTTTAGTCTACTTGAAGTAGGCGTTCCGGTGGGTGGGTGGGTGCACCGTGCATCCTTTAGTCTACTTGAAGTAGGCGTTCCGGTGGGTGGGTGGGTGCACCGTGCATCCTTTAGTCTACTTGAAGTAGGCGTTCCGGTGGGTGGGTGGGTGCACCGTGCATCCTTTAGTCTACTTGAAGTAGGCGTTCCGGTGGGTGGGTGGGTGCACCGTGCATCCTTTAGTCTACTTGAAGTAGGCGTTCCGGTGGGTGGGTGGGTGCACCGTGCATCCTTTAGTCTACTTGAAGTAGGCGTTCCGGTGGGTGGGTGGGTGCACCGTGCATCCTTTAGTCTACTTGAAGTAGGCGTTCCGGTGGGTGGGTGGGTGCACCGTGCATCCTTTAGTCTACTTGAAGTAGGCGTTCCGGTGGGTGGGTGGGTGCACCGTGCATCCTTTAGTCTACTTGAAGTAGGCGTTCCGGTGGGTGGGTGGGTGCACCGTGCATCCTTTAGTCTACTTGAAGTAGGCGTTCCGGTGGGTGGGTGGGTGCACCGTGCATCCTTTAGTCTACTTGAAGTAGGCGTTCCGGTGGGTGGGTGGGTGCACCGTGCATCCTTTAGTCTACTTGAAGTAGGCGTTCCGGTGGGTGGGTGGGTGCACCGTGCATCCTTTAGTCTACTTGAAGTAGGCGTTCCGGTGGGTGGGTGGGTGCACCGTGCATCCTTTAGTCTACTTGAAGTAGGCGTTCCGGTGGGTGGGTGGGTGCACCGTGCATCCTTTAGTCTACTTGAAGTAGGCGTTCCGGTGGGTGGGTGGGTGCACCGTGCATCCTTTAGTCTACTTGAAGTAGGCGTTCCGGTGGGTGGGTGGGTGCACCGTGCATCCTTTAGTCTACTTGAAGTAGGCGTTCCGGTGGGTGGGTGGGTGCACCGTGCATCCTTTAGTCTACTTGAAGTAGGCGTTCCGGTGGGTGGGTGGGTGCACCGTGCATCCTTTAGTCTACTTGAAGTAGGCGTTCCGGTGGGTGGGTGGGTGCACCGTGCATCCTTTAGTCTACTTGAAGTAGGCGTTCCGGTGGGTGGGTGGGTGCACCGTGCATCCTTTAGTCTACTTGAAGTAGGCGTTCCGGTGGGTGGGTGGGTGCACCGTGCATCCTTTAGTCTACTTGAAGTAGGCGTTCCGGTGGGTGGGTGGGTGCACCGTGCATCCTTTAGTCTACTTGAAGTAGGCGTTCCGGTGGGTGGGTGGGTGCACCGTGCATCCTTTAGTCTACTTGAAGTAGGCGTTCCGGTGGGTGGGTGGGTGCACCGTGCATCCTTTAGTCTACTTGAAGTAGGCGTTCCGGTGGGTGGGTGGGTGCACCGTGCATCCTTTAGTCTACTTGAAGTAGGCGTTCCGGTGGGTGGGTGGGTGCACCGTGCATCCTTTAGTCTACTTGAAGTAGGCGTTCCGGTGGGTGGGTGGGTGCACCGTGCATCCTTTAGTCTACTTGAAGTAGGCGTTCCGGTGGGTGGGTGGGTGCACCGTGCATCCTTTAGTCTACTTGAAGTAGGCGTTCCGGTGGGTGGGTGGGTGCACCGTGCATCCTTTAGTCTACTTGAAGTAGGCGTTCCGGTGGGTGGGTGGGTGCACCGTGCATCCTTTAGTCTACTTGAAGTAGGCGTTCCGGTGGGTGGGTGGGTGCACCGTGCATCCTTTAGTCTACTTGAAGTAGGCGTTCCGGTGGGTGGGTGGGTGCACCGTGCATCCTTTAGTCTACTTGAAGTAGGCGTTCCGGTGGGTGGGTGGGTGCACCGTGCATCCTTTAGTCTACTTGAAGTAGGCGTTCCGGTGGGTGGGTGGGTGCACCGTGCATCCTTTAGTCTACTTGAAGTAGGCGTTCCGGTGGGTGGGTGGGTGCACCGTGCATCCTTTAGTCTACTTGAAGTAGGCGTTCCGGTGGGTGGGTGGGTGCACCGTGCATCCTTTAGTCTACTTGAAGTAGGCGTTCCGGTGGGTGGGTGGGTGCACCGTGCATCCTTTAGTCTACTTGAAGTAGGCGTTCCGGTGGGTGGGTGGGTGCACCGTGCATCCTTTAGTCTACTTGAAGTAGGCGTTCCGGTGGGTGGGTGGGTGCACCGTGCATCCTTTAGTCTACTTGAAGTAGGCGTTCCGGTGGGTGGGTGGGTGCACGGTGCATCCTTTAGTCTACTTGAAGTAGGCGTTCCGGTGGGTGGGTGGGTGCACCGTGCATCCTTTAGTCTACTTGAAGTAGGCGTTCCGGTGGGTGGGTGGGTGCACCGTGCATCCTTTAGTCTACTTGAAGTAGGCGTTCCGGTGGGTGGGTGGGTGCACGGTGCATCCTTTAGTCTACTTGAAGTAGGCGTTCCGGTGGGTGGGTGGGTGCACCGTGCATCCTTTAGTCTACTTGAAGTAGGCGTTCCGGTGGGTGGGTGGGTGCACCGTGCATCCTTTAGTCTACTTGAAGTAGGCGTTCCGGTGGGTGGGTGGGTGCACCGTGCATCCTTTAGTCTACTTGAAGTAGGCGTTCCGGTGGGTGGGTGGGTGCACCGTGCATCCTTTAGTCTACTTGAAGTAGGCGTTCCGGTGGGTGGGTGGGTGCACCGTGCATCCTTTAGTCTACTTGAAGTAGGCGTTCCGGTGGGTGGGTGGGTGCACCGTGCATCCTTTAGTCTACTTGAAGTAGGCGTTCCGGTGGGTGGGTGGGTGCACCGTGCATCCTTTAGTCTACTTGAAGTAGGCGTTCCGGTGGGTGGGTGGGTGCACCGTGCATCCTTTAGTCTACTTGAAGTAGGCGTTCCGGTGGGTGGGTGGGTGCACCGTGCATCCTTTAGTCTACTTGAAGTAGGCGTTCCGGTGGGTGGGTGGGTGCACCGTGCATCCTTTAGTCTACTTGAAGTAGGCGTTCCGGTGGGTGGGTGGGTGCACCGTGCATCCTTTAGTCTACTTGAAGTAGGCGTTCCGGTGGGTGGGTGGGTGCACCGTGCATCCTTTAGTCTACTTGAAGTAGGCGTTCCGGTGGGTGGGTGGGTGCACCGTGCATCCTTTAGTCTACTTGAAGTAGGCGTTCCGGTGGGTGGGTGGGTGCACCGTGCATCCTTTAGTCTACTTGAAGTAGGCGTTCCGGTGGGTGGGTGGGTGCACCGTGCATCCTTTAGTCTACTTGAAGTAGGCGTTCCGGTGGGTGGGTGGGTGCACCGTGCATCCTTTAGTCTACTTGAAGTAGGCGTTCCGGTGGGTGGGTGGGTGCACCGTGCATCCTTTAGTCTACTTGAAGTAGGCGTTCCGGTGGGTGGGTGGGTGCACCGTGCATCCTTTAGTCTACTTGAAGTAGGCGTTCCGGTGGGTGGGTGGGTGCACCGTGCATCCTTTAGTCTACTTGAAGTAGGCGTTCCGGTGGGTGGGTGGGTGCACCGTGCATCCTTTAGTCTACTTGAAGTAGGCGTTCCGGTGGGTGGGTGGGTGCACCGTGCATCCTTTAGTCTACTTGAAGTAGGCGTTCCGGTGGGTGGGTGGGTGCACCGTGCATCCTTTAGTCTACTTGAAGTAGGCGTTCCGGTGGGTGGGTGGGTGCACCGTGCATCCTTTAGTCTACTTGAAGTAGGCGTTCCGGTGGGTGGGTGGGTGCACCGTGCATCCTTTAGTCTACTTGAAGTAGGCGTTCCGGTGGGTGGGTGGGTGCACCGTGCATCCTTTAGTCTACTTGAAGTAGGCGTTCCGGTGGGTGGGTGGGTGCACCGTGCATCCTTTAGTCTACTTGAAGTAGGCGTTCCGGTGGGTGGGTGGGTGCACCGTGCATCCTTTAGTCTACTTGAAGTAGGCGTTCCGGTGGGTGGGTGGGTGCACCGTGCATCCTTTAGTCTACTTGAAGTAATGTCGATTCTCCTCCCTCCTCTTGCTGCCGCCATATCAGGTGGCGCTGGATTACACTGGCAAGCGAGGTGTGCCGGTGGGTGCGCCACGCGAGGACGTGTACTGTGCACGCTTGAGTCGACTTAAACTTCAAGTCACGTCCATTCTCGGCCTCCCATCCCTTGCTGCCATGCCATGCCATGCCATGCCATGCCATGCCATATCAGGTGGCACTGGATTACATTGGCAAGCGAGGTGTGCCGGTGGGTGCGCCACGCGAGCGAAGAATAAAGTGAGTGAGCCAGCCTGCGTGTCTCTCTTTGTAGTGCCTGCTCCATACCATACAGCGCTCTCTGTGCCTTGCCTTGTAATGCTCTCTGTACGAGAACTCTCGAAAGAGATACATACAGGGGCTCCTCCATACAGCGCTCCCTGTGCGGTGCAGTGCAGTGCGGTGCGGTGCGGTGCAGTGCCGCGTGCGTGCGTTGTGCGCTTGTTGTGTGCTGAGTTGAGTACGTCCTGTGCTGTGCCGTGCCGTGCCTCATTATGTGCCGGACATAACGAGTTGAGGCCTCATTATGTGCAGGACATAACGAGTTGAGGCCTCATTATGTGCCGGACATAACGAGTTGAGGCCTCATTATGTGCTGTGCAGGACTCCTTCACCTTTGCTGCTGTGCTTCCCTGAATCTGCTTCCCTGAATCTTCTTTCACCTTTGCCCCGGACTCCTTCACTCACTCCAGCCTCTCCTTGTCTGGCCCAGGTACACCAAGGGTGCTCTTCACAGGGATTTCTTGCCTATGTCAAAATTGCGCTCTTCTATCTTTCTTCCTTCACCCCCTCCCTCCTTCCCCCTCTCCCCGTCTGTCCCAGGTACGTCAAGGGCATTCTCCAGAGGGAGTTCTTGCCCCTTTTTTTTTTGAAAATTTGTGAAAGTTCTTCCCCTCCTTCCCTTCCTTCACTTCCTGCCTCCCCTCCCCTTGGGACAGGTACGCCAAGGACATTCTTCAGAGGGAGTTCTTGCCCCATGTGGGTGTGGGCGAGTTTTGTGAAACCAAAAAGGCCTACTTCTTTGGGTGAGTTTTTCCTCTTTGGGTGAGTTTAGTCTCTGAGGGAAGGGTTTCCTCTTTTGTTGAGACTTTCCTCTTTGGGCAACGTTCTCCGATATGATATGTATCACCTATTTGTATTGTCCCCACCAATTCGCTCCTAGTCCTGACCGTTTCGTCCCTGTGCTGACCCTTCCATTCCTCCCCTTCCCCCCTCCCTCACTTTTCCCCACTCTTTCCCCCTTCCTCTCTTTTCCCCACTCCTGCCCCGCCCCCCCCCTCCCCCTCCCAGGTACATGATTCACCGCCTGCTGCTGTGTGCGCTGGGGCGGCGCAACGAGGACGACAGGGATCACTACGGCAACAAGCGCCTCGACCTCGCTGGTCCGCTGCTCGCTGGGCTGTTCCGTCAGGTGGGTGGGTGTGTGTTTCTGGGCATGGCATGGCATCGTGAGTGTCGTGTGCCGGTGCCTTGCTGCATGGACTGTACTGGAGGGCTGCAGTATGTTCGGGCATTTCATAAGGGGCTGTGTGCGTTTGGGCATTTCATAAGGGGCTGTGTGCGTTCGGGCATTTCATAAGGGGCTGTGTGCGTTCGGGCATTTCATAAGGGGCTGTGTGCGTTCGGGCATTTCATAAGGGGCTGTGTGCGTTCGGGCATTTCATAAGGGGCTGTGTGCGTTCGGGCATTTCATAAGGGGCTGTGTGCGTTCGGGCATTTCATAAGGGGCTGTGTGCGTTCGGGCATTTCATAAGGGGCTGTGTGCGTTCGGGCATTTCATAAGGGGCTGTGTGCGTTCGGGCATTTCATAAGGGGCTGTGTGCGTTCGGGCATTTCATAAGGGGCTGTGTGCGTTCGGGCATTTCATAAGGGGCTGTGTGCGTTCGGGCATTTCATAAGGGGCTGTGTGTGTTCGGGCATTTCATAAGGGGCTGTGTGCGTTCGGGCATTTCATAAGGGGCTGTGTGCGTTCGGGCATTTCATAAGGGGCTGTGTGCGTTCGGGCATTTCATAAGGGGCTGTGTGCGTTCGGGCATTTCATAAGGAGGGCTGTGCTCCCACCTGTCATTGCGTGATCTGTCATGTGCCCACCTGTCATCACGTGTGCTTATTCACCTTCTTTCATCCTCCCTTGCCCCCACGTGCCCTTGCCCCCACGTGCCCTTGCCCCATCTGTGTGTGTGTGCCTGCCACCCACCTGTCATGTCATGTGCCCAGCTGTTCCGCAAGCTCACCAAGGACGTGCAGGGCTACCTGCAGCGGGTAAGAGACGGGATGGGGTAGGGCGCACATGGGGAAGGGTGCACACGTGGGTGTGCCTGCCACCCACTTGTCATTGTGCCCAGCTGTTCCGCAAGCTCACCAAGGACGTGCAGGGGTACCTGCAGCGGGTAAGAGACAGGATGGGAAAGGGCGCACATGGGGAATGGGCACGTGGGGAAGGGTGCATGGGGAAGGGGAAAGGGCGCAAGTTGGTGTGGGGGTGCCTGTCTGTCTGCCACCCGTTTGTCATCGGTATCTGAAGCTCCAGCTCTTCCTGAAGCTCGGGCTCAACGCAAGTACTGCATGGCCTATTGTTCCCTGTACCTGTATCTGTGTCTGTCTGTGTCTGTGTCTGTGTCTGTGTCTGTGTCTGTGTCTGTCTCGGTATCTGTATCTGTATGCACCCCCTATTCTCCCCGTGCCCACCTGGCAGGCAGTGTGTGGATCACGGCACGGCAAGGAGATCAACCTATCGTATGCAGTGAAGGCGAAGATCATCACAGGGGGTCTCAAGCACTCTGTGGCCACGGGCAACCAACTGGCCTTCTATTCCTGCCCCTTCTCATACCGTCCCTCTGCCCTGCCCCCTATACCTCCCCCCTGCCAGTGCATGGATCACGGCAAGGAGGTCAACCTATCATACGCAGTGAAGGCGAAGATCATCACAGGGGGGGCTCAAATACTCCGTTGCCCCTTGCTCCCTGCATCTGTAATCTGTTTTCCTGCCACCTCCGTGTCTCTCTGTGCGCCCTGCCAGTGCATGGATCACGGCAAGGAGATCAACTTATCGTATGCAGTGAAGGCGAAGATCATCACAGGGGGGCTCAACTCAAGCACTCTGTGACCTTGGGCAACTGGCCTTCTCCTGCTCCCTCTCATACCGTCCCTCTGCCCCGCCCCCTATACCTCCCCCCTGCCAGTGCATGGATCACGGCAAGGAGATCAACTTGTCATACGCAGTGAAGGCGAAGATCATCACGGGGGGTCTCAAGTACTCGGTGGCCACGGGCAACTGGGGGCAGGCCAACCAGGCCGGCACCAAGGCGGGGGTCTCACAGGTGGGGTGCTCAAAACTGTGACTGCACAGGCTGACAGCAAGGTGTCGCAGGTACAGTGACTGCTCTCACTGCAAGTACTCGGTGGCTACGGGCAACTGGGGGCAGGCCAACCAGGCCGGCACCAAGGCGGGGGTCTCGCAGGTGGGGTGCACTGGCTGACAACAAGGTCTCGCAGGTATGCTGCTCTTGCTCTGACAGGTGGTGGTGGTGGTACTGGGCTGATGATAGTGTTGTTTTGCCATTCCTGCCGCTGAAAAGACCTTATCAACAAACCCACAGGTGCGGAATTGCCTGGCATATGCATCCTCCCTGTCGCATCCATCCCCACTCGTGGCTTTGTCGTGCTGGCTTATGCTATTGTTCTCCCATCCTTACAAGCATCTCCTTGTGCTGTTCTCCTCCTCCCATCCCACCCATCTCTGCCCTGCAGGTGCTGAATCGCCTCGCCTACGCGTCCTCCCTCTCCCACCTGCGCCGCCTCAACTCGCCCATCGGTCGCGATGGCAAGCTGGCGAAGCCGAGGCAGCTGCACAACTCGCTGTGGGGCATGATGTGTCCCGCTGAGACGCCCGAGGGGCAGGCCGTGGGGCTGGTGAAGAACCTGGCACTCATGACGTACATCACTGTGGGGAGCAACGCCGCTCCCATCCTGGAGTTCCTGGAGGAGTGGCTCACTGAGAACCTGGAGGTACGCTCGGGTTGTGTGGTGGTTTTGGGGGAGTGCAAACGGGGGGGGATGGGTGGGGCTGGTGGGGCTGGTGAGGAACCTCGCGCTCATGACGTACATCACTGTGGGGAGTAATGCTGCTCCCATCCTGGAGTTTCTTGAGGAGTGGTTGACTGAGAATTTCGAGGTATGCTCGTTATGAGTTGTTCACGCAATATGAGGGCGTGCACACAAGACGTGGTGGTGGGGTGGGTGGGGTGGGGTGGGGCCCTTTTGACTTCTCGTACCTTCTGTACCCTTCTCCTATCACCCTCCTCCTCCCACCCTCTCCTCTCTCCCGTCCCTTCCCGTCGCCAGGAGATCTCCCCAGCGCTCATCCCGCAGGCCACCAAGGTGTTTGTCAACGGCTGCTGGGTGGGCGTGCATCGCGACCCGGACGAGCTCGTGCGCACGCTGAGGCAGCTCAGGCGACAGGTGGGGTGTTCGTTTGGGTTTTGTGGTTGGTAACACTGCTGTGGTGTGTGCACTCATCTCACCTCCTGGGCTGCTGGGTGGGCGTGCATCGCGACCCGGACGAGCTCGTGCGCACACTCAGGCAGCTCAGGCGACAGGTGGGGCGTTTAGGTATTTGGATTGCATGGTAATTCGTGAGCGCTCATGGGCCGCTGGGTGGGGTGCTTTTCTTAGGGGTGATGCTGGATAGTGGGGCTTTTGGGTGGGGTGGGGCTGCTGGTGGGCGTGCATTGGTACCTGGACGCACAATACATTTGAGGGTCACTTTTGAAAACTCGAGTCACTTTCGAGAACTCTCTGAAGTCCTTTTCCATCCATCCAGCTGACCTCTCTTTGCACCTCTCTCCATCCATCCAGCTGATCTCTCTTTACACCTCTCTCCATTCATCCAGCTGGATGTGAACTCGGAGGTCTCAGTGGTGCGTGACATCCGCCTGAGGGAGCTGCGCCTGTACACGGACTACGCGCGCTGCTCTCGCCCGCTGTTCACAGTGGAGAAGCAGCGGCTACTCATCAAGAAGCGCGGCGCGCTCTTGGTTGGCCCGTCCCCTCTCCAACGCTCTTTCTCCTCTTTCCCTCTCCTTCCCCACTCCAGCTGGATGTCAATCCAGAGGTCTCAATGGTGCGCGATATCCGCCTCAGAGAACTCCGCCTGACTACGCGATATCTGGTACACGGACTACGCGCGCTGCTCTCGCCCACTCTTCATAGTGGAGAAACAGCGGCTGCTCATTAAGAAGCGCTGCAAGTCTCTACCCCCCTCCATATTTCCTTTTCTCCCTTCCCTTTCGTGTGGAAAAGGCACGAGAACTTGGGGTCCCTTCCCTCTTCCCTTCCGTTCCCCGTTCCAGCTGGACGTGAACTCGGAGGTCTCAGTGGTGCGGGACATTCGCCTGAGAGAGCTCCGCCTGTACACGGACTACGGGCGCTGCTCCCGGCCGCTGTTCATAGTGGAGAAGCAGCGGCTGCTCATCAAGAAGCGCGACGTGCTGGCGCTGCAGCAGGAGGGGTCGCTTTCGCTCCAAGCAGGCAGCACCAGAAGCTGTTGATTAACGAAGCGTGGCGTGTGCTTGCTTGCTTGCTTGCTCCCTTCTGTCCGTCCCCCTGGCCCTCTTCTCCCCTTCTCCCCTTCTCCCCTTCTTCGCCTCCATCCATCCAGCTTGACGTGAACTCAGAGGTGTCGGTGGTGCGTGACATCCGTCTCAGAGAGTTACGGCTCTACACGGATTACGGGCGGTGCTCCCGGCCGCTTTTTATCGTGGAGAAGCAGCGGCTGCTCATCAAGAAGCGTGATGTGCTGGCGCTGCAGCAGGAGGGGTCGGGGATCGGGTGGAACGAGCTGGTGGAGAAGGGGTTCATTGAATACGTGGACACGATGGAGGAGGAGACTACCATGATCTCCATGACCATTCATGTGAGTGCTGCCACCTCACTCACGGCAGTGGGCAGTGGGCAGTGGGTACATACATACAATCAGCGCAGCTCTACAGCTTGAATGCAGCAGGAGGGGTCAAGCATCGGGTGGAACGAGCTGGTGGAGAAGGGGTTCATTGAATACGTGGACACGATGGAGGAGGAGACTACCATGATCTCCATGACCATCCATGTGAGTGCTGCAATCATCTCAATTCCTGTGAGTGCTGTAGTCTTGTGCTGCTGTGGGCTGACATGCCCCTAGGACCCTCCTTGGCATCTGGTGGAACGAGCTGGTGGAGAAGGGGTGTATCGATCGAGTATGTGGATACGATGGAGGAGGAAACCACCATGATTTCCATGACCATTCATGTGATTGCTGTACATCATCCCATCAATTCCTCCCGTTTCTTCCATGGGTGTATGCTCCTCCCCTGCTCCTTTCACTTCAGTATGTGACAGCAGCGAGGCTGAACCCCACGGAGGCCTACAGTGACACGTACACGCACTGCGAGATCCACGCCTCACTTCCGTCCCTCTCTTCCCCCACCTGCAATCAATCCTCTCCTGCTTTCAGGATATGACAGCGGCGCGGCTGAACCCCACAGAGGCATACAGTGACACGTACACGCACTTCGAGATTCATATTCTCCTTGCCCTCCCTTCAGTTTCACTTCAATCCCCATTCACATCTTCCTCTCTTTTCCCACCAGGACGTGACATCAGCGCGGCTCAACCCCACGGAGGCATACAGTGACACGTACACGCACTGCGAGATCCACCCCTCGCTCATCCTCGGCGTCTGCGCCTCCATCATCCCCTTCCCTGACCACAACCAGGTGACGCCTCCCCGGACTGCAGCCAGGTAACACCTCCCCCGAGCTGCAGCCAGGTAACACCTCCCCCGAGCTGCAGCCAGGTAACACCTCCCTGGACTGCAGCCAGGTAATACCTCCCTGGACTGCAGCCAGGTAACACCTCCCTGGACTGCAGCCAGGTAACACCTCCCCCGAGCTGCCACAACCAGGTAACGCCTTTCCTGCACAACCACCTAACGCCTTCCCTCACTCCACCAGGTAACACCTCCCCTGATCACAACCAGGTAATGACCCAGAAGTCCAGTAAGTTATTTGTCGGTGCTTTCCATTGATATGTCGCCTGTGCCCATGCACTGGACCAGTTTTGAGGCGCCTCAAAACCTTTGAGGTGCCTCAAAACCTTTGAGGTGCCTCAACCCATGCACTCGAGCAGCTATTAACCTCACCTGCTGCCTTGTCCATCCATCTCGCCACTCTCCTCCCTCCCTCCACCCTTTCAACGCACCCCAGTCCCCCAGGAACACGTACCAGTCAGCGATGGGCAAGCAGGCGATGGGCATGTATGTGACCGTTACTAATTTCTCTGTCCGTTGCCCATGCCCTACCCCACTTCCCCCTCCCTCCCATGTCTCCCCTTCCCCTTCCCCCCCTCCCCCAGTCCCCCAGGAACATGTATCAGTCGGCGATGGGCAAGCAGGCAATGGGCATGTATGTGACCAACTACTCATGTCACATGCGTCCTTCACTGTCCGTTGCCCATCCGCTATCCCCCCCAACCCCCTTCCCCACCCACCCCAGTCCCCCAGGAACACGTACCAATCGGCGATGGGCAAGCAGGCGATGGGCATGTATGTGACCAACTACCAGTCGCGCATGGACACCGTCGCCTACGTGCTCTACTACCCCCAGAAACCCCTCGCCACCACGCGCGCCATGGAGCACTTGCACTTCCGGGAGCTGCCTGCTGGGATTGTGAGTAAATCGCACATACATATGTACATGTTTACGTACATGCACGCATGCACATAGTCACTCACACTCACACTCAAGCCCCTCGCCACCACGCGCGCCATGGAGCACTTGCACTTCTGGGAGCTGCCTGCTGGGATTGTGAGTCAATAACACATGCATATATCATATATGCATACACAGAGTCACACATACATACGCAGAAACCCCTCCCCTCCCCACCGCGCGTACCATGAAGCACCTTCACTTCCGGAGACTGCCCGCTGGGATTGTGAGTCCATGAGGTCATCATGAACCAGTCTCGCTCCCTTTAAACTCCCCCCCCCCCCCTCCTTTCCTGTTCTGTGTGTGCCCTGCTGTGTGGTGTCTCCCGCCCCTGCACCTCCCCCCCCGACAGAACGCCATAGTGTCCATCCTGAGCTACTCGGGGTACAACCAGGAGGACTCGGTCATCATGAACCAGTCTCTCCCTCCTCTCTTCATCACTCCCCATGGGTCATACGTGTTGTGCTGTGTTTCCCCCCTGTGCTCCCACAGAACGCCATAGTGTCCATTCTGAGCTACTCGGGCTACAACCAGGAGGTCTCGGTCATCATGGCCTGTGTCTCCCACCCCGTCTTTTAACCGCTTTATCCCTCTGGTTCTGTATGTGCCGTGCTGTGCTGTATGGTGTCTTTCCCTGCACTCACAGAACGCCATAGTGTCCATTCTGAGCTACTCGGGGTACAACCAGGAGGACTCGGTCATCATGAACCAGTCGTCCATCGACCGCGGCTTCCACCGCTCCATCGTCTTCAAGTCCTACAGGTGCTCACAGGGGCCACTCTCGGGTTTAATGAGGAGTTGAGTGTCTTGCTTCAGGTGAATGTATCATGGTGAATGCTCCCACAGGTATTGGGTCTTCCACCGTTCCATGGTCTTCAAGTCCTACTGGTAAAGGAAATTGGCATTTCTTGCTCTCACCCTTCGCTTTCATCCCTCTCTCGTTCTCACGTTCTCTCACTCCCATGCTTCTCTCCCTTCCATCCCTGTCTGTCTCCCACTCTCCCATTCTTCTGTCACTCACTCTCCCTCATTCCGCTCTCCCTCATTCCGCTCTCCCTCATTCCGCTCTCCCTCATTCCGCTCTCCCTCATTCCGCTCTCCCTCATTCCGCTCTCCCTCATTCCGCTCTCCCTCATTCCGCTCTCCCTCATTCCGCTCTCCCTCATTCCGCTCTCCCTCATTCGGCTCTCTCACAGGGACGAGGAGAAGAAGAGTGGCAGCATGGTGAACGAGGAGTTTGAGCGCCCCAACCGAGAGATCACCATGGTATGGCATGACATCACCAGTATCAGCACCAGTATGGCATGACATCACCAGTATCAGCACCAGTATGGCATGACATCACCAGTATCAGCACCAGTATGGCATGACATCACCAGTATCAGCACCAGTATGGCATGACATCACCAGTATCAGCACCAGTATGGCATGACATCACCAGTATCAGCACCAGTATGGCATGACATCACCAGTATCAGCACCAGTATGGCATGACATCACCAGTATCAGCACCAGTATGGCATGACATCACCATGTTGAGTTGAGCCATGACGTCACCATGGCATGGCATGACGTCACACTACACCAGTGCGCTCAACCCCTTGTTTTTCCCTGACTGCTATGCTATGCCATGTGTGTGTGTGTCCACCATGGCATGCGGCACGGGTTGTATGACAAGCTGCGCAATGATGGCATCATTCCCTGCTTGCTCTTTCTCGTTGCACACACACACCCCCTGCTGAGAGTTTTCACTACAAGAAGGGCGCTCCCTTTTTTCTATGCCGTGTCTGCCCTGAACTGCTTGTGTGCACCACCAGGGCATGCGGCACGGGTCGTATGACAAGCTGGACGATGATGGCATCATTCCCCTCGTTTGCTGACCCTCACCCTCGTCCCATGCACCACCGCTGTCTACCATGTCTGCCCTGTCCCCCCTTGCTGTGCACCACCACCATCAGGGCATGCGGCACGGGTCATACGACAAGCTGGACGGTGATGGGATTGGGCCGCTCGCTTGCTGACCCTCACCCTCGTCCCTCTCTGATGTGTCTGCCCTGTCTCCCCTTGCTGTTCATGTATCAGGGCATGCGGCACGGGTCGTACGACAAGCTGGACGATGATGGCATCATCCCTCCGGTGAGCTATATAATTTCAGGGTTGAACGGGATCGAACGGGGTTGAACGCAGTTCATCGCGGTTGAACCGGGCTGAACGGGGTTGAATGGGGTTGAATGGGGTTGACAGGACTGTTTGATCCGACACTTGGACATGGGTGTTGAGTCGGTCCGCTCCCAACCCTTACAGGGATCGCGCTGGGGTGGGGGCAAAGCAAAGGAGGTGATCATCGGCAAGACAGCACCCCCTTCCCTGTGCCTGCTGTGCCCTCCTAACCCCTCCTAGCCGTTCCTAACTCCTCTAGCCCCTCCTAACCCCGTGTAACCCCTCCTCACCCCTCTGAACCCTTCCAGGGCTCGCGAGTGGCAGCAGAAGACGTGATCATCGGCAAGACGACGCCCATTCCTCCGGATGAGACGGGCAGTGTGGCTCAGCGGTTCAGCAAGCGCGACATGAGCACGTGCCTCAAGCACAGCGAGACAGGCGTGATCGACCAGGTGGGATGGGGAGGCTTGGTCACCAGGTGGGATGATCGACCAGGTGGGATGATCGACCAGGTGGGATGATCGACCAGGTGGGTCTTACCCCTTGTTGCTCATGACAGTTGCGCAGCGGTTCAGCAAGAGGGACATGAGCACAGTCACAGTGAGGCAGGCATGATCGAAGGGGTGGGCTGTACTTGTTGTTGACTAGGTGGGTTCGTGTATGTTGCTGCTAGCCATGCCTTCCTTTCCCCGCTCTTCTCCCCTTCAACTGTCCTGGTCAGCTGGTTCTCATCTCATCTCACAACCAACCAACAGCGACGGCCTCCGGTTTGTGAAGATTCGTGTTCGCTCCATTCGCGTGCCCCAGATCGGGGACAAGTTTGTTCATTCCATCCATCCTTCGCCCTCCCCCTCCCCCCCCCCCCCTCTCCGACTCGACCAACCAGGTGGTCCTCACAACCAACAACGACGGGCTCCGGTTCGTGAAGATCCGGGTGCGCTCGATCCGCGTGCCGCAGATCGGGGACAAGTTTGCGTCGCGGCACGGGCAGAAGGGCACGATCGGCATGACGTACACGCAGGAGGACATGCCGTTCAGCGCCGAGGGCATCTCCCCGGATATCATCGTCAACCCCCCCCTTGCTTGCTTCCCCCTCCCATCCCCCTTCCCCCTCTTCCCCCTCCCCCCCGCTTCCTGCGCAACCCTCTTCATGCTCCGCGCTTGCCAACCAGGTGGTTCTGACGACCAACAACGATGGGCTTCGATTCGTCAAGATTCGTGTGCGCTCCATCCGAGTGCCGCAGATCGGGGACAAGTTTGCGTCGCGGCACGGGCAGAAGGGCACGATCGGCATGACGTACACGCAGGAGGACATGCCGTTCAGCGCCGAGGGCATCTCCCCGGATATCATCGTCAACCCGCACGCCATCCCGTCCCGCATGACCATCGGGCATCTGATTGAGTGTCTTATGAGCAAGGTGGCTGCTCACATGGGCAAGGAGGGGGACGCCACACCCTTCACCGATGTGACGGTGAGTATTTTGAGTCAAATCAAACGTTTGCATTTCAACCCAAGTGAGACAGGATGGCGGGCGGGACCGCATCCTTTCCCCCGCATGTCATCCTGTCTCACTAGCACACCACTTCAATCTTCTGATCGAGTGCCTCAAGGAGGGTCAAATCACGCATTACTGGCATCTGCACTGTCAATTTCAGCTGCACGCGTGACGAGAGTGGGTATGATTCTACGTGGGGGTCGTCTCGTTCTTATGATTTTCCCGTCTCTCCTGTAACCCCTCTATATGTGTGCCACGGTACCACAGGTGGACAATTTGAGTCGCACGCTGCAGAAGTGCGGGTATTAGATGAGGGGTTTCGAGTGCATGAAGCCTCACCATCAAGTGCCCATTCTTATACTTTTTTACCTCTGTCAAACCACCCATACTTTGTTTTCACAGGTGGACAATCTGAGTCGCACGTTGCACAAGTGTGGGTACCAGATGCGGGGATTCGAGCGCATGTACAACGGCCACACGGGGCGGCCGCTGCAAGCGCTGCTCAAGTGTGCTTACCAGATGTGGAGGTTGCTTGCTTCATCCGCTCTACCCTAATCGCTTGTTTCATCTGAACCCTTCGCACGTGGTGCATTCCAGGTGGACAATTTGAGCCGTACGCTGCACAAGTGCGGGTACCAGATGAGGGGGTTCGAGCGCATGTACAACGGCCACACAGGGCGGCCGCTGCAAGCCATGATCTTCCTTGGCCCCACCTACTACCAGCGCCTGAAGCATATGGTGGATGATAAGATCCATTCCCGAGGGAGAGGGCCCGTGCAGGTGAGTTATCTCTTTCAGGGTTGTGTTGGCCGGTACTCAGCAGGCTTCCAGGGTGGGTAGGCTGGTACCTGGCATGGGCCATGACCTTCCTGGGCCCACCCCACCTACTACCAGCGCCTCAAGCACATGATGGATGATAAGATCCATTCCCGAGGGACAGGGCCTAACCACTTCAATATTCCCTCTGGCCACTGTCAATCCCATTCAACTCCTGTGAATTTTACCAGATTCTGACTCGGCAGCCGGCAGAGGGGCGGTCGAGGGACGGTGGGCTGCGGTTCGGAGAGATGGAGAGGGATTGCATGATTGCCCACGGCGCTGCTGCCTTCCTCAAGGAGAGGCTGTTTGACCACAGCGACGCGTACCGCGTGCACGTGTGCGAGTTCTGCGGACTCATTGCGATCGCCAACCTCAAGAAGGGGCTTCTGGAGTGCCGCGGATGCAAGAACAAGACAGATATCGTCCAGGTGAGAGGAGGGAGGCGAAAGGGGAGAGGGGGAAGGGTTGAGGTGAGAGGCAAGAGGAGAGGAGCAGGTGAGAAGGGGGAGGTAAGGGAGCAGGGAGGGGTGTGTCAAGGAGCGGCTGTTTGACCACAGCGACGCGTACCGTGTGCACGTGTGCGAGTTCTGCGGGCTCATTGCGATCGCCAACCTGAAGAAGGGGCTTCTGGAGTGCCGCAGGTGCAAGAACAAGACTGACATTGTGCAGGTGAGGGGAGGAGGAGAGAAGGGGGATGGGGGAGGGGGGGATGCACGTGTGCGAGTTCTGCGGGCTGATTGCGATCGTGAATCTGAAGAAGGGGCTGCTGGAGTGCCGCGGGTGCAAGAACAAGACAGACATTGTGCAGGTGAGGGGCGAGGGGGGGGGAGAACGGAGAGGAGGAGGGGAGAGAGGGGAGAAAGGATAGAGGAGAGGAGCAGGTGGGGGGGCTGTTGGAGTGCCGCGGATGCAAGAACAAGACTGACATTGTGCAGGTGAGGGCAGAGGGGAGAGAGGAGAGAGGGGGGAAAGGTGAGAGGGGAGTGGCGAGAGGAGGGGAGCAAGTGAGGGAGGGAAGCAGGTGGGAAGGGAGAGGAGGGGAGCTAAAGGGGGTTGTGTCAAGGAGCGGCTGTTTGACCACAGCGACGCGTACCGTGTGCACGTGTGCGAGTTCTGGCGGGCTGATCGCTATTGCGAATCTCAAGAAGGGTTTGTTGGAGTGCCGCGGGTGCAAAAACAAGACAGACATTGTGCAGGTGAGGGGCGAGAGGGGAGAAGGGAGAGGGGGAAAAGGTGAGAGGCGGGGGCGAGAGGAGGGGGACAAGTGAGTGGAGAGGCAAGGGCGGGAGGGAACCAGGTTAGTGGAGAGGGAAGGGAACAAGGAGGTGTGCATATAGGAAGGACTGTTTGATCACAGCGACGCGTACTGTGTGCACGTCTGCGAGTTCTGCGGACTGATCGCAATTGCCAACGTCAAGAAGGGCCTTCTGGAATGTCGCGGGTGCAAGAACAAGACAGAGTGCCCATGCACAACCTTGTGTTCTCCTCTTTTTCCTTCCCCTGCTCACCCCAGGTGCACATGCCGTATGCGTGCAAGCTGCTGTTCCAGGAGCTCATGGCCATGGCCATCGCACCTCGCATGCTCACTCGCGAGACTCCTGTGCCCAAGGCAAAGAAGAAGGCACCTGCTGCTGCTTCCTGATTGGCCAATGTTGACACCAAGCACAGACTCGGGAACAGTAAACGTTGCAACATTGTTGGATCTGTGCTCACAACACAATTTGATGGTGCAGCTGTTGCTTCTTGGAGTGATCTTTTTTGTGTTGGAGGATGACTGAGGGCAACTACCAGTAAATCTGGGGCAAAGGTACCAGCATTCAGTACGAAGGAGACTTCTCTTCTCACCTGTGGTTCCTGCTTTCCTAAACTCTGATGTGCTAAAACGGCTTGGCATAAGGTGGAATGTGCCAGCCGGGAATCGAACCCGGGTCTGCACCGTGCTGAATGGCAGGGTGCTATTCTACCACTAGACCACTGGCACTGGAAGAGATGTTCTAAGTAGCAAGTCAGACTACCCGACCACTGAATAGAGACAGGGACTAGCAATTTGACAGGACAGTCAGCAATGACGGGGCCTTCTCCTTATCTCTTGGGCAGAAAATGTGCTGGCAATGGCGGCTGCGCGGCTGGCGATGGCGCCTTGTACCTTTCACGTCTACCCACGCTCCCGTGTGAGCTGGAACTGCCGCCTTCCTGGACGAAGGCAATGTCCGGTATTCTCCACTCTCGCGGCTTTACGCGAGGCTCCGCCTTTCTATGGCGGAAGAGACCGCACGATTGACGGCTCCCTTCCTGTTCATCTTTCAAGCAGCGGGAGAAAGCCTGTTCACGTGTGCGTGCTTTGCGCTCTTGGTGTTGGTTCCGTAATACTGTCAGTTTTACCGCATTTTGGCATCAGTTGATCATAGAGGGATACTCACGCCGGCGGTTTTTCACCGACTGCAGCAGGACACCTTTCTGAGTCTAGCAGCTAGTGAATACACTGACTGCAAATGGTAGCATCTAAGGGACAAACGCTTTTGATTCTCCAAGCTTTCAAATTCTTCTGGCTTCACTCCCTCCTAATTTCGGCCTCCACGTGTCACGCGGTGATCCACTCTGGAGCGCTAAACGCGGATCGTCCAGCTGTCGCTGGTGGAGGGGCAACGGCCGCGAGGATTGCGGATGCAGCGGGTCTACCTGTCGCGGGAGCGAGTAGGAGAATTCTATGCGGTGAGCCTGTTCGTGCGGAATCCCGTCTTTCACGATGACGAGTGCTTGGCTTTTGGAGACGTTTTAAACCGGAAATTCCTCCCATTACTACGTTGACGAGCGTATAGCTTGTGCACGTGTTTGTTTGATTTCCTCCGACGATCGCCTGATAATGGTCATCCTGTATCGTGCTGCGTTCCCCTCGTCTCTCTCCTTGCAGATGACAACTCCACTGACGGTAACAAGCGTGACAGCACGAAGAACACTCCCGTCACTATTGCGTCCCAGCCCGATGGCGGCTCGAATCGAACATCAGCGTTCACCGGCAGCGCTGCGGTTCGGAACAGCAAGGACGAAAAGGGAAATCAGGTAGTAGCAGGGGCGAAGAAAAGCTCGAGCGCACGAGCTGAGGGCGAGGGGGAGAACGTGGGGTATGACACTGATGCTGGGAAGAGTATCAAGCGCGAGCGTCATGACAGCAGTCAGAGTGACGGGCGCGAGGAGCGGAAGGAGAAGGAGGAAAGGGAAGAGAATAACGAGAAGAAGGATGGAAACGAGAGCGAAAAAAAGGAAACGAGAGGAAGGAGCGACAACGGGAACACACATGAGCAAAGTAACCGAGAACGCAAGGAGGCCGGCAAAGTTGGGAACGCAACAAAGGGAGGAGGGAATGGGGACGAGAGTAAAACCAGGGAACGTTCCGACGGCGGCGATTCGTCGAGGGTGAGAGAAGATCACACGAAGTGTAACGACTCGAGTGGTAACTCTTCCGAGGAGGAATCGTCGGCTAACCGCAGCAGCGGAAGCGGGACAGATGTGTCGCTCGCGGATCGGCTGGGCGGCTGGAGTGGCGGGGCGGGCGGCAATGAGAAACTGCCGTCGTCGCTCGCTGCGCTACTAGCTGACACGCTTATTAGACTGACCGCGAGTGCTCGAATCCGAATCGACGGCCAAGGTGGGTGAATCATTGTTGGGTGAGCCAGGCGTATGACTGCCATGCCAACAATGGTTTGGATCGTACATAAAGCAGGGCGTACTTGGGTGATGCTTGGGATTCGACCTTCTTATGACTTCCGTGGCTGTCCTGCAGGTCTGGACCTCGGACGCCGGGCCGGACGGCAAGGCTCGTCACCCAAACCTATTTCTACGGCTGGGCACAGCCCAGCTCGGAGCAGCGAACAAGTTCTCGCGAATCCGCTGATGGCGGTGAATTTGTTCGTGTTCAACAAGCCGATCGAAATCTCAGCAGTCCATTCGTTCGTGAACAAGGGCAGCGTGTCGCTGCAGACGCAGCTTGCACTGACGACGGCGCTAGCGCGAGACAACGCCACGGTGACGCAGGACCACCCGCAATTTCAGGAGAGCGGGTTGGGGAACTCCCAGGCGCCTAACATGACGGTTCTAAACAAAAACGCGACGACAGGAGATTCAACGGCGTCGCTGGGAAGTGGTGGTGATGGTGGCCCGCCGTTACCTGCGGCGGCACCTTTGGCGCCATCTGCGGTATCAAGTACAAGATCTCACGGTGGGGAAACAAATTCCTCGGCTCCGTAAAAGCTTCCCCAGCCTGCTCCGGTACAAGCTCGGCTAAATTTTTATAAGGAATCAGCGCGTGCGCTAGATAACCTGTTGAATTAGATGCTCTGCTGTTAGAATCAAAATTCCATGTTGCTGATATACTTGTGTAAATAAGTGAAATAATCTCTGTAGACGTTTTTCGTTCTCTATATCGCAGTATTATCGCACAGCACTTCCTCCACCCACCTCGGTTTCATCCCCGACAGCACGCCAAGCATCTGACACATGTGGTTCACCAGTCACCCATCGCACACGCTCCTAGTGAATCCTAGCCGTCCACGTACAGTTGGACATGATCAGTGGGATCAACGGGGGACAACTGATCCGAGCCGCATGTCAACCCATCACGGCCATGAAGCATATCTCGAGGCGCCGCCACTCCAGGCGTGCAAGGGCAATTCGTCCCCTGCAGCGGCACCGCGTCGCACGTCTTTCCAAACGAATCGATCAATCGAACGAAAGCGAGTTTCCGCGACTATAAATAGTAGCTCGTTCACATATGCCCCCATTCCGTCACACTCCCCGCATTTCAAGCTGCGTGGTCGCATTTCTTTTCAACGTTAGATCCTGCGGCTATTACTGAGCCATACCATCATCTGGCGGACCGCCCTTCCAACCAATGACTTCCCGCGTGAGTCACGCTCAAACAGCAAGACGTTTTCCTCTCGCCGTCGCCGGAATTTTTCCGCTGCTGTTACTGCTCGTCGCTACCGCTCCAGCGGGATCCGCGGGAGCTCGTTCAGAACCTTCGAATGGCCTCCCGTCGACCGCGTTGGCCGGACTGCGAGGAGAGGCCGACAACTTACAAGGACCTCTTAAAGACGTCCTTAAAGACGTCGGACACGAGCTGTCTGGCACTAGTAGTCTGATCGGCCAGGAAGGACTCGTTGAGGCCGTGGATCAAGAAGAAATCCTTCACGCTGCGAGCAGCGCATCACAGGTTGCTGCTACCCGGGGTGACGCAATCACTGGGGATTCTCAGGGTGGTGCGATCGGCGCAGCACCTCTTGGTGCTCAACGGCATGTAGCAAGCAGTGCAGCACTGGGTGCTGCAAGTGAGCACCGAGAGCTCGCTGAGGCCCACGAGCTCTTGGGCGACCCGCCTGAGGTCCACGCTGGCAGCAGCCCAGTCCACGTAAGCAGCAGCCCAGTCCACGTCAACAGGGGCAACCGGAGGAAGCTAGCGGTGGTGGCAGCGGTGGATGAGGAGACGCGGAGGGGCATGGAGGCATGGATGCAGGACGAGGTGAAACGCGCTGTGAGCCGTGGTTTGAAGCAGCTCCAACAGAAGCTTCTAGAAGACGTGGACAAGCTAGGTGAGTTTTGAGACGGTGTGGACAAGTGAGGTGAGGAAATAAATCTGAATAAATTTTCTGATGCTGATATTCGGAGTTATTTCATCCCATACCTCTATGCAGGCACTCCTGAATCGCAAATCCTGTTCATGGGTCCTAATCTCCCTGAGGCTCAGGTCATGAGCCTGATAGACATGACTCTTTTTGAGGCGCCTCAAAAGTCGTCCCTACCTCCCTCTTCCCACACTCCTCCCGCTTCACATCTTTCCCTCGTGTGGTCTACAGTGCGCAAGCTGCAGCAAGGAAGCCATTGCGGAGGGAAGAAGAGAAGCGGCTCAAGAGGGAAAGGGGGCAGTCACTGCAAAAAAAGGTCCAAGTGTGGGAAATCCCACAAGAGCAAGAAATCGAAGGAGCACTACAGTGATTCTTCGCTATGGAAGCCTTCGTTACTGGCACACAAGCCGTTTCCCAGCAGCATCAACATACGGTCGTACGTGTTCCAAGGCCCGGTGGAAATCTCGGGAATCCGGGAGCTAAACAACAGCGGGACGATCACCAGGCAGACCCAGATTGCAATCACCAAAGCAACGGCTAAGGACAACGGTACAGTGAGTCAGAACGAGCCACAGTCACAGAGGAGTGCACATGGTGCTGCTGGTATGGAGGGTGGCAGTATGGGGAGCGGCGGCGGCGGCGGTAGCCAGTCAGAGGAGAGGGTGACTTATGGGAAGCATGGTGATGAGAAGAGTCATTACCAGGGTCAGCATGGTGAGGGGAGTGGTGGAGGAGAGAAGCATGGGAAAATTGGGGAGGTTAAGGAGATTGTGGGAGAGGTGAAGAAACATGGGGTGGTTGGTGCTGTGGGAGGAGCTGGTGTTGATGATGTGAGTGGCTGTGGAAGCGACAACTGTACAGTGTCGTGTGCTGGTGACTGTGGTGGTGACAGGGGAGGTGGTAACCGTTACAACAATGTCAGCATCGATAATACTAACGGCAACAGGTATATCAACGAAAGCGCCTACAATAATGGCAACAGCTACAGTAATGTCAGCATAGATAACAGCCGCAACAGGTATTTTAATGGCAGCATTGACAACAGTGGCAACAGCTACAGTAATGTTACCATTGCTGGTAACAACAGGTTCAGTAATGTTACCATTTCTGGTAACAACAGCTACAGTAATGTTACCATGTCTGGTAACAATAGCTATGGAAATACCAGCATATACAGTGACATCAACAACAATGGCAGTGGTTACAACAACACTGGTGAAAGCTACTATGGAGACAACGCAGGGGCAACTGTTGCACTAGAGGCTGGAATGGGGGGGTGATTAATCTGATGCTATGTACAGTAATAAAGGCTGCAACAACAGTGCCTTATTCGCAGTATCAATAGTTTCCTGCTGTTTGTACTGCATGTGCATGTAACTTGCGTAAATAAGTAATTTGGCTAAGTGCTGAAAACACACTCCACAATGGCGAGGAAACTTTAAACAAATCAAATGGCCCATTGATACGATTGATCAAGCTGCAAGCTACACCAGTTTGAGGTCAAGAAATGCTGCTGAGCGGTCAGCGGCACAAAGAATTAAATACGATAATATGCCTCTTCATTCTCGCCAAGGAGCTACACTGGTTTGAGGTCAAGGAAGGCAGCTAGCTCTGAAACGAGGCGAGGGGGCCAGCGGCGATACTCGCTCACCCACTCGCGGTCGCGGTAACGCCCATCCTGATGGGAGGATGGGGGAGGGGAGTGGAGGGAGGAGGTGGGGGAAAGAGCGTTGGGAAGAGACAGATGGAGCCTTGAAGGCAGGGAGGAGATGCCGGGAGAACAGACGGGAGGGCAGCGGCGAGGCCGTCCGTCGCCGCCCGACGGGAGGACACTCGCAGTCGCGATACCGCCCGTCCTGATGGGAGCATGGGGAAGGGGATGGTTGGGAGCTTAAAAGTTGGAAGGTAGAGCAGACAGGGGGAAGTGAGTCAGGGGAGACTGGCAGGAAACAGAGGTGGGAGGAGAGAGTCGATTTTCAGTATCTCGGTAGGCAGCGGCAAGCTTGGTATGAGGGAAGGGAGTTAGAGACGAGCGGAGTGAGGTAACAAAGAGAGAAGCATTATGGAGTCCCATGGTTGCAGAAAAAGAGCAGAGAAATTCAAACTTCAGGGGGAAGGGAAAGGAAGGATGAACGGATGTGCGGATTGAGAATAACGAGGGTGAGAAGAAAAGAAAGGAGTGCTCACGTCGACTCTGCTCCAGGCGTTCTCAGCTTCGGCTCTCAGCCCCGCTGCATAGAGTGCCACTGCTAGTGCTGCCCTCATGTCGGGAAACTGCAGGGGTTCAGGGACCAGGGGGGAGAGGGGGAGAGGGGGAGAGGGGGGGGAGGGGAGAGGGGGGGGGGCGGGGATGTTGATGCGCCGGACGGGAGTGGGTTTAGGATGGGGCGTACGGAAGGGAAGGAAGGGAGCGTTGACGCATGAAGAGCACAACTTGGCCGGAGCCTATTTTTGAGTCGACTCAAAAAAAGGAGAGGCGGAGGGAGAGGGGGGGGGGTGTTGATGCGCCGGACGGGAGTGGGGAGTGGGAATGGGGCGTAGGATGGGAAGGAAGGGAGCGTTGACGCATGAAGAGCACAATTTGGCAGGAGGCGCAGCGCATGCTGCAGAGAAATCCAGCAGCCAATGCAGGCAGCAGGGCAATTCCCTGGGCGGTGGCATGGAATTCCCTGATACTCATTAGATGCTGCAGCAGCAGTATCATGATTCGCATGGGAACATGGCATGGCATCCCAGGTTTTGAGACGCCTCTAAAGTCACCATGTGAACATGGCATGGCAGGGTCTTACTAGATACATGGCTCTGTCCTGCTCTGCCTCGCACCTCAGGGTACTTTCGGAGAAGGTTCCTCATCTGTTTGATGGCAGCGTTGTCGTTTCCCACCTCGTACAGTGCCTGAGGAGGGGGCAGGGACGAGGGTGGAGGGGGTGAGGGGCGAGGGGCGAGGGGAAATGGATGAGGGGTAAGGAGGAACGGAGTGACATGGAGGGAAGATGCAAAAGGGGGGGGAAGTTGTGGAATGGAGAAGTTGAGCTGAATCATTGAGAAGTTGAGCTGAATTATTGAGAAGTTGAGCTGAATTATTGAGAAGTTGAGCTGAATTATTGAGAAGTTGAGCTGAATTATTGAGAAGTTGAGCTGAATTATCGGCAGAAAATAAAAAACACTAGAGCCCAGGTGCCTGGACTCACGAGAGCATAGTTGGCAGCAGCAAAGGAGAATGCAGGCGCCAGCATGCTTGCCCGCCTGTAACTCTCCACTGCATCCCCCCACGCCCCCACACCCGCCTGGCAGGGATACGCAGCAGAAATGGGGAAAGTAGGGATGGTGAAACGTGGTAACGGGGGAAGGGGAACGGGAGACAGGAGAAAGGGCTTAGAATTATAGGACTCTAGGATCCCTCCACCGCGACATTAAATGAGTGTGGTTTTTAGATGTCTCAAAAAATACACTAATTTCAAAGGGGCTAGAATTGGAGGCCTCTGGGATCCTTCCATTGCATCGCCTCATGCGCCCACACCTGCCTGCATGGCAGGGCCACGTCGAGTAGAGTGAGGGGTGGAAGCAAAGAAGGAAAGGTGGGGGTGGAAGGGAGGGAGGACTTTTGAGGCGCCTCAAAAGCATGCCTGCATGGCAGGGCCACGTCGAGTAGAGTAGAGGCAAGAAAGAAGGAAAGGTGGGGGGGGAAGGGAGGGGGTGTGGAAATGACTTTTGAATTTATTGAACCCCATCTGCGCATTGCCCACCATGCAAACCACACCCTCACCCCCCACCTGTGCGTTGCCGAGGTTGTTCCAAGCAGCAGGGCCATTCAGCGCCACTGCGAGCACTGCCACGCATGTGCCCCGTTGACCTCGTTGACCCCACTGCCCGTTGATCCCATTATCTCCCACCTGTGCGTTGTCCAGGTTGTTCCAAGCAGCAGGGCCATTCGGCGCCACTGCCAGCACTGCCACGCATGTGCCCCATTAATTAAACCCATTGACCTGCATTGACTCCGTTGACCATCTCCCACCCGTGCATTCCCGAGGTTGTTCCACGCTGCAGGGTCGTTAGGCGCCACTGCCAGTCCTTTTGAGGCGTCTCAAAAGTTGGGCGCCACTGCCAATCCTCCACCACACATGTCCTGCTCACCCGTGCATTCCTCCCCACCCACCATGCCCACAACACCACACCATCACCCACCTGTGCGTTCCCGAGGTTGTTCCACGCTGCAGGGTCGTTGGGCGCCACTGCCAGCACTGCAGAGTAGTCCGCCGCAGCTTCCTGGAAGCGTCCCAGCGACTCCAGGGCCACGCCTCGGTTGAGGACTGGGTCGACTGCATAGCTGATGGCGGGGTATGCGGAGGGGGAAAAGGGATGAGCGGGGGGGGGGGGAAGGGATGAGCGGAGGGGGGAACGGAACGGGTGAGCGGAGGGGGGAAGGGGTGAGCGGAGGGGGGAAGGGGTGAGCGGAGGGGGTAATCGGCTTTCCAGTTACGACGTACGCAGCGAGGGCGATGGCAGCGTTGTAGTCGTCTAAAGCCTCCACCAGACGGCCCTGCCTGGATCGCGCATTGCCCCAGACTTAGTCATCAAAGAGCAGAAACAGAGCAGCACACAGCACAGAGCACGCACGCAGCGAGGGCGATGGCAGCGTTGTAGTCGTCTAAAGCCTCCACCAGACGGCCCTGTCTGGACTGCCAGTTCTGTGATCAACTCTAGGACCCACGTACGGAGTGTAGGCAATGGCAGCGTTGTAGTCCCCAAGAGCCTCCACCAGTCTGCCCTGCCTTGACCGCGCGTTGCCTCGATTGCCCAGCGCCCTCGATGCAATGTCCGGCACCCACTCGGCATTGCCTGCCCGCTCGCACGATTCAATCACCACCGTCCATAGCGCCTCCTCCTCCTCCACCTGCCAGCATGTACAATCCAGACCGTTAAAAGTCAATGATACGGAGGTGACACACATATAGTCACAGAATTCACCATGGGAGCGGTGAGGGCGCGTTCAGAGGTGGTGACACAGGATACCGTAGTATCAGGTGGTCCACATACAGTCACAGGGACGTACAGTGGAAGCAGTGAGGGCGCGTTCAAAGGTGGTGGCAGCAGCTCGAAGCTTCTCATCAGCATGTCCGTATGCGACAATTGTTTTGCTTACAGGCCCGACAGCAATGGTTGACTTGGACGTACAGTGGAAGCAGTAAGGGCGCGTTCAAACGTGGTGGCAGCAGCTCGAAGCTTCTCATCAGTGGGGTCAAACGTGCCTCTGGGTGCAGCAGCTAGGTCGATCCTAGCTGGAGGAACAGGCCCTCCCGAATTTCCTGCAAATGCTGCCGTGGATGCTGACGTGGCTGCTGACGTGGATGCTGACGTGGATGCGGATGCGGATGCTGACGCGGAAAATAACATGGTAAGTGACGTGGATCCTGAGGCAGAAGCCGAGGCAGAGCTGGACGCTTCTGTGCCGAATCCGAAAAGTTCGAATGCCCGGGCGTGACTGAAACGAGAGGCTGCATCCGGCAGGAGGAACGGGGTTAGGCCCCACAATCCAGTGGCAGCTCCGAGTAACAGGAACTTCCTCCGTCCCCCGTTATAAGCACTCGCATTTGCGACAGCTTCTGAGCTGGATTCCGATACGAGCCCTTCACGTTCAGACTGGGAATTTGCTTCTGAGGAAGAACGGCTAGCCGCGGAACGGGTCATTCTTAGACAATCATGGCCGTTGGATTCCGTGTCCGCCAGGTTCGCGTCCTCTGGGCCATCCATGCGATCATCTCTGCTCGCTCTCGCTATAAAACGTCTTGATTTTCGTAGTGGTGAGTGAGGTACTTGACTTGACCTTCTGTGATGGTGAACCGCCGCCGTCGGCACCATCGTTATTCCTGACGACCGCGCTTGACTCTTGCTGAAGCTACTAATTCTATTGCTGATGCGCGACTCGGACGAGACATTGACTGGAGCCAGCCGAGCCGCGTTGACCGCCATTGTTCCAGTCAGGGAGAAACTTGCAGTGGGCATATAATTACAATCGAATTCACCCGAATTCCCTGCTACACACTGCGAAGTTCTTAGAACTAAATGACGATCACGGAAATATGAATGAGAGCTGGGCAGCGAGCTAAACCGTACGTGTGTGCGTCTGTCCACAAGGGTGTGTCACGCTTGGACGATTTTCTGTTCAGTTTGAAGGGGTTGACTACGATGGTGTGTATTCTGTAGCGGTATGTTCTTTTCACCGCTTTGAACCGCGACATACCAGCCTGGACAGTGATACATGAGGTGTAAACTACGTAAGAGTGACACGCTGTTGGTTGCCGTCGAAGCGGGGTCTTGTGGGTTAGAATGCTCCACGATGTGGTTTGATTTTCCACAAGAAGCATAAATGATATCCGTATGCAGGCACCTACACCATGTTCAATCTGATTAACATCTAATCATTTTTCTGATTGGTGGGGAAACGGGTTATTATGGCAGTATGTGAATTGGAAAAACCAGCAACAGTTGGCCAAAGAGGAACAATATGTGAGCGTTCTTTTTTGACAAAATAACTATTCTAGTAAGGAAATGGAATGGAATATTAGAGAAGTACAGAAACAAAAGTTAATTTTACTGGATTAAAAACTAAATTAGGGAAATCATAATCAACTGAATTTTAGGAAACACGGATTTTGAGCATGGTACATAAATTCATGTATAAAATCGTTTCTATAAATTGATGTTATTCACTTTTGCTAAACATTAATAGGTTTGTTTTACAACTGTGCACTCTTCTCGTTACTTATAATGAAGCGGGGTTCTCGATGATTGTACATCTGAGGCGGACAAATGTCTGAAATTTGTCGTTATCGGCGAGTGCGCCACCGACCACTGTACTCGAGGGATGACTGATGGCTGTGTCACTTCTAGGGTTTTCTTCAATACATCGTGGCCGTTCGTTATCCCTCGAAAGGCCAAGATGAGTGGAACAAGCAGTGTGTGCAGAAAGAAACGTCAGGTTCGGTGTTGGGGTCAGCAATGCTTGCCCAGCGCCCTGTGGTTCGGCACGGGAAGGCGTTGAATAGTGTACTGTTCAGCGCGTCGAAGAAACCCGCAACAAGGGAAGAATCGAGCAGCTTGATGATGAGACAAACAACATACAGGCAGGGACCCACATGAATGTTTTCCTGAAAGGGCAACTACATATGTACAACACATTGCCCCAGTTCATGCAGTATGTCACTTGTGCGCATCGACAGCCTCGACCTCGAAAGCAAAATTTGCTGGTGCACAACAACGACTGGTCTTTCCTTTCACCTGCCCTGTCTCGTCTCTTTGCTCTCCCTACCGCCCCGTTTCCCCATGTCCCCCGCTTCCCATCTGGTCTATCACCTGCACAAGAAAACTCGAACCGGTTTGCATCTTGCGGTAACGCGCATTTCGGTGTTTCTCAAAATTGTTTCAAATTTTATCTCATCCCCCGCCAGCCCCCAACCACACCCGTTTGCGCGGCCCATATTTCCTCCCTGGCGGAGCGGCCGCCACCCGCCACGTCACACAACGCAACAACCCCACCTTGGCTCTCCAGACCAGGGTGCACTGCGGAAAGAAACAAGCAAGAACAACCGAGCCTCCAGCCAGCAGCAGATTTGGGGGTTCACCTGGGTAAACACCGCCACCTTCTGCTGGACCAAATCGCATCATTCCGGAAGGGAAGCCCTGCCAAACCATCGGACCCCAGGATTTAGACTCCAGACCGAACTAAACCAGACCAGACCGAGCAGAAGCGACCACAGCAGCAGCTTTGCCCTACCCTGTTTTTCTCTGGCTTGGCGGCTGAATGCGAGTCAACAGTTGGCAGCGAGTACATTTGCTAGGGCTCAAAATTAGTGTCCCAAAGATCTGCATGCAAGCCAGACTAGAAAGATATGCCTACATAGAGTAGCGTTCGAGCTAATTACGTTTCCTTTTCCGTCGTATGTCGGTCTGAGCTACTGTCTGTGTTAGAATCCATCGATTCCGTTTGTGAGGCTAGATTATCGGAAACCTCCTGCTTTGGATTATATTTGACCTGGCATCTCGTCTCCTGCTGATGGGGTTTCCACGGCCGGGTGAGTGTTCATTCCGTCGCTTGAAGTGCGAGATACTGTTTCTGGCCACGTCATGCTTCTCGCACGCCACGTCGCATCCGTTTCTGCTCTGAAAATCCTCCCTTTTTTCTTTTGTCCTAACATCACTCCTCCCCTCCCTCGCTTTCCATCGACCCAATGTGCCACGTGTCAGCTCGGCCGGTCATTCTGGCCATCCTCCTCTTGTCGCTGGCCGCGCATTCCACGCAGACTACTTACGACGAGTTTCTGGACAATATCGAGAGCGTTCTTAACGGGTCCAAGCCCGTCGGCAAGATTGACTGTACGTGCTGGCATCTGATGACCCAACCCACCATTTCTTGAGACATTTCCAGCGAGCAGCAGCGTAGGAGGAAGTTTAGCAAAGGAAAATTGCTCCCTGGAAATGTCTCAAGATCTGAAAGCCCCTCGAAAAGATTGACTGTACGTGCTGATACCCGATGACGCAACCCACCATTTCCGCATGATGTTTGTTTACTTCTTGGCCCTTCGACTTTCTGTGTCTTTTACGACCTGCTCCTGTATGATGTACCCCCCAGCCCCTTGTGCTCTCCGCTTTATCGCTCCCGCTTCATTCCTTATACCCCCTCCTCCCGTCCCACCCTCCCCCCCCCCCCCCCCCCCTCACCCCCCCCTCCTCCCCCCACCCCACCCCCCTCCCTCCCGCTCCCTCTTTCCGCTTCTCTTCCTTACCACCCTTTCCGCCCTGCAGCCATGCTGTTCACGCAGGCTAATCGGTATAACCTGGCTACCAACAATAAAGCCAAGGCCAAATCCGCCTCCCACAGGTCGCCGTTCCGCAGTAACTCGATCCGCGGCTCCTCCGCGTCAGACCCTGGCGTCGACAGTAGCAGCGGCAGTATCGGCGGGGATACCGGCGGCAGTGTCAGTGGCAGTAGCGGCAGCAGCGTAGGCTTGATCTCGCGTTTCTTTGGTTATTTCTTCGGCGTCCGCACCACCAGCGCGACAACATCGGGGTTTCCCCAACGCGGTCCGCCGTTGTCCGTCTACCAGACCGGCGTGCAATGGCTGAGCAGCAGCGCGGCAGGCAGCAAATCGAACCGTGCTAAGTTAAACACGTTACTGAAGCTGCTGGGTCAGCCCAGCCTTGATAAGGCTCTGGGTAAAAAACAATCCGCTTTTTTCATACCCGCGGATTCGAATGTTACGCTGGAGGCGGCGGGGATTACAAACCTTACGGCTGCGCAAACTACAGTGCCTAGCACTGTACCGACACCGGCGCAAGTTTCCGGGCAGAGTTATGCGATGAGTTACGGTCAGAGTTATGCGATGAATTCAGGGTCGGTTGGGGTGCTGCACGACGATGATGACGAGGAGCGGAGATGTCGAGGCGGGCGACAGTATCGAATCGAATGCCACGATGACGACGAGGAGGACGATGACGAACCAATATGCGTCGAGCCGACTGGGAGAGTGCGGATTATTAAATACACGTGAGTACGCGAAATAACATAAACATGTGTAAGTGTGCTAAATAGATACTCAGAAGTGCTCTTTTTTCGTCATGACTTTCGCAGTTATCGACAGTCCAGAAATCATTTCCGATTTCAAGTAACCAATTATATGTATTTTTCCCATCTTACATGCCCATCTGTCAACCACACCATCCCTGCAGGTCCCCCGAGAACATCTCTTACGTGCTCCTCCGAGCCAAGAGCAAGTGCTTGCCCGATGTGCGCAAGGTGCAGATCCGCAATGCTGTTTATGGGAAGACAGGGAATCTTGTTTTGGAAATCCCGGGTTCATGGCGGCTTGTGGACCCCATTGAAATCGAGCTGGTCAAGCACACCTTGATCGCTAATGCGAGCAGCGTGATTGTTGCGAACGGGCAGACCTTGGAGAAGGCAGTTATTACCATCACTAAGGCGCCGTGGAACTACTACGCTATCTTCACCACAGGAGCCAAGAAGAACGGGGCAATCAGGGGCCAGTTGTGGAAGCCCTTTTGTCCCTGGTGTGGGAACTTCACATTCACTGGAACATAGGGTCCAAGCCAAGACAAGGAGAAACCATGTGTACTGTCCAACAAATGGAGATCCGACTTTCTGAAGGCCTGGCTTGTTGTGTTATGTGAAATAACGTTCACATATCACTGTACTGTAGTTTGTAGGGATAAGTGGCCACTGTCTTGGTGGCTACTGTTAGGGCTGTGAAGATTTGGGGCATTTGTTCACACTTCCCGGTTGTGCAGATCTGACATTGATAGTGTCTAGGTCATTCATCATTAGTAAATATGGGATGTGCAATCTGCTGAAATAAGAGGTATATTCAGTGCTTAAAGCGGAATGTTCGTTTCTTATGTGATTGTGTACGTTTACCACACTCCACCACGGACTACCACATGTGTGAAGTTATTCAGTCGTTCCGCCGCCTTGCGCCTCGGGATCAAGAATGCGCAGCTTGAATCGTTCTCTAGCGAGGAGGGGGGAGTCTTCTGATGATCTCGGATGTTCAGCTCAGCTCGAAATGCTTCCACATTGGTTCACGCCACGCCTGTCGAACGAGAAAGGGCTCGTTATCCAATCGACGGTTTCCACATCGCGGGCTAAAAGATTCAGGTGCGTGCCGCCGCGCCCCTCAGAAGAACCGAGCCCCAAACTGCCGCCCCCCCGACCAGCACCCCCCCCCCAGCCCCGTTCCCCCTCTCTTCCACAGGGAAAAAACCTGCATCTTTGCAATTTTAACGCTCTGCACCGCTACTCACCGTCGAGATGGTACACCGACTTCTTTTGCTACTATCGGGCTTGCATTGCATTGCATTGCTTGCATCTCCATCGCTGGGATGACAGTTACATTACCAATCGAAGGGCTGTGGCTTGTTTCTTACCCAAACGAGGCTGCGCGGGAGTGAGAGAGAGCCACTCACGTGACCGTGTCGCCCAAATGCCAAGCTTTACAGTCACATGCCGCCCCTCCGCTCGCTGCAATCCCAGTCCCCAAGGTCCGACCGACTTGCGAGAATGCAGCTGCTTCTGCCAGCCCCTTTCATGAACTGCCCGTGTGGCTGGCGTACCGACCTTTCTTTCCTTCGATCCCTCTCGTCCCCCCACCACCACACCACCCCTCACCCCTCCCTGCACTTGCTCTCGACATCAACCTGAACATAGGCGTGGAACAACCCATTTTCGCTACGAATCAGCAGTCTATCCCACCCACACCGCGTCAGCGCAAACTGTTCACGTGGCGCATGACTGGTGCGACAGTACTAATTTGAAATAGATGAGCTTTAGTACGATTATGAGGTTTTAATTACGGTTTAACACTCCAATATAGCTGTTTCTTGAATCTCTCGCGCCCCTCCTTTCAGGTTTAGACGTGCTTTTTTACTTGGTCCTTGGCAATTTCCAAGAGAGTCCTATTTCGGCGTCGCTTAGCCGCACCAATCCCCCGTACCGCGCCGTGTCCCGCCCAATACAACCATACGATTGAGATTCTTTTCTCCCAGCCGTACCAACTCCTTCTGACGCTCGACCATGGGATCGTCACTCTTAGCTCGGCCGGTCCTCCTGGCTGTCCTTCTCTTGTCGCTGGCCGCGCATTCACACACGCAGACGACGTACGACTCATTTCTCGACCAAATCGAGAGCGTTCTTAACGGGTCCACGCCCCTCGGCAAGGTTGACTGTAAGCGCAAACTGGGACCCGCAAACTGGCGTAATCCATCCAGATATTTTTATTTCTTTCTTTGAAATTCCTTGTTCACAATTGACCCCTTTTCCATTTTATAAAAGGCGTTTATTATTGCTATTATTTCGAAATCTTCCCCTTCCTCTCCAACCTCCCCCTTTCCCCCCCCCCCCTCTTCCCACCCCCTCTCCTTCCTCCCTCCGTCACCCTTCCCTCGTCCATCCCACATCCCCCCTTTTCATCCTGTTCAACCCACGGTATTCCCCCGCTTTCTTTCCCCCCTCCGCCCTGCAGCCATCTTGTTCACGCAGGCCAATCAGTACAACCTGTACCTCAGCAACAAAGCTGGCGCTAATTCCGCCTCCCCCGCATCCGCCTTCCGGAGCGCCTCCGCCTCTAGCACCACGGGCACTGGTGGAGATCCGGGCGGCACTGGCGGCACCGGCGGCGGCACTGGCGGGGGTAGTGGGGGTGGCAGCGGCGGGGGCAGTGGCGGGGGAAGTGGCGGAGGCAGCGGCGGCAGCGGCAGCAACCTAGGCCCGTTCTTACGCTTCATCCTTTCCCTCATTCGCTCTGTGTCCAAGTCCAACGCGCCCCCGCTCAAACTCCTTCAACAGAGCGTGCAATGGCTCAGCACCAACGCGACCGTGATCAAATCAAATATCGCGAAGCTGAACTCGATTCTCAAGCTGCTTCGGCAGCCGACCCTCGCGAAAGCGCTGGGATCCATGCGCCGCGCGTTCTTCGTTTCGCCTGGCGCGAAGGTCGCGCTGGAAGCGGAGGGAATCACTCAGCTCGCAGCCGCCCAGAGCGGCGTGCCTGATACGGTGCCGAAATCCGGGGATCAGGTTGCGGATCCGAATGGTCCGAGCAATCCGAGCAATCCGAGCGATCCGGGTGGTCCGAGCGTTCCGAGCGATCCAAGCAGTCCGAGCGTTCCGAGCGATCCGAACGCGAGTCAGAGTAACGACCAGGTTTCTGCCAAAGGTTACACGGCGCAGAGTTACGGGGCTGTTACTGTGCAAAGCGACGATGATGGGGAAGGCGATGGGAGACCGCGAGGCGGGAGGCAGTATCGGATTGAGAGTGACGATGACGACCATGAGGACGATGACGAGGATGTGTGTGTGGAGCCGACGGGGCGAGTGAGAATCATCAAATACACGTAAGTGCGCATTATTGAGCTGTGCCTTCATAAAAAAAAAGATCTTATGCCTGTTGAGGTTTATGTGAGGTGTGTTGAGACTTTGAATTTAGCACCATGTGAAGCATTCTCATCCCAACCCCTCCTATCAACCCTTCAATCCGCGACCGCTCCGCCCACCTGTGCTGTGCAGCTCCCCTGAGAACGTCTCCTATGTGATCCTTCGAGTCAAGACAAAATTCAAAACAAAATTCAACCACCTCCTCCCCATCCCTGCAGCTCCCCTGAGAACGTCTCCTATGTGATCCTTCGAGCCAAGAGCGAGTGCCTCGCCGACGTGCGAAAGGTGCAGATTCGCAATGCACCTTACGGGAAAACAGGGAAGCTTGTAATGGAGATCCCGGGTTCGTGGCGGCTTTGGGAGGAAGATGAAATCGAGCTGGTTAAGCACACCTTCATCGCCAATGCAAGCAGCGTGACTGTATCAAACGGGCAGACTCTGGAGAAGGCGATTATATCCATGACGCAGGCGCCGTGGAACTACTATGTCATTTTTACCACGAAAAGCAAGCCAAAGGGGGCAATGAGGGGCCAGTTCTGGAAGCCCTTTTGTCCTTGGTGCGCCAACTTCACATTCACAGGAACCTAGAGTGAAGCCTGGTTGGAGGGGCCTGTTGGGGTGAAGAGTTTGTTCACCCAAGGTTGTGCATATATGTTGATGGACCCGGTTATGCTTCTTGCCACTATCTTGGTGGCAGAAGTTTACTGCTGTAATGTAGAGGGTCTTTCTCTTGGTGGGTGGCTGTGCCAAGCAGTGGCAATAATGTGGCTGGTGTGTGAGTGCATTGTTTGTGTTCTCCGTTTTTTGTTCCATAGCAGGATGAGAATAAAATGCAATGTACATGTAATAGTTACCTTGCCACGTCGCTGGTTGTGATTGGTGCCAGCCAACCGTCGCGAGCCTGTCGTACGCAGCACAAAACAACTTCCCCGAACCTGAGCCCCCTCACGTTCGAGTGCGCGACTCGATATGAAGCCTAGGTGTTGTAGACTTCTTGCGTTCGGGGGCAGCGGCGATGTTGGGCTTTGTCGCAAAAGGCCATCAATTACACCTTGCCGAACCTACCACACAGCCATGAAATTCACCTGGGTCTTCCTCTGCCGCCACAGGCGTCGTCCGAAAATGCCTCTCACCTTGGTTTCGTGGCGCATTTCCGAAGCAGGGGCGAGGTTTCCGAAGCAGTCGAACCAGCAGCCATACCCAAACCAGACGTTGCTTCCGAACCAGCAGGGGCAGTTTGCAGCAGTCGCTGCCAATAATCAAGCACGCCGCGAACCGAACCGCGCTGAGCGTCACAACAACCAACACCTTCAACAAGCCAAACCGAACCACACCGATGGCCACCACAAGCAATCTCGCCCAAATCGCTCCCCATTGGCTACCTCCGCTTCCACACTTGCGGTGGTACCGAGTGGAAACTCTGAGCACCGATCTCGCAACATCCATCAGAGCGCTGGAACGTTTTGTTTTGCCGCTGCCCTGCCTTCCCTTGCCCTACACCAGCATCCCAATAGCAACAGCAACAGCAGTATTCGCATTACCAGCACCAGCAGCGCACCCCACTGCTCCATTCCATACATACCTATTTCCGCTCTGTCTACCACGATATGTTGTTCCACCTATCAAGAATGCACCACCACCAGCTAAGCGCGGCGTGCTCTTTTCAAGACTGAAGAGCGCTCCGATAGGAACATGATTCTTAGAGAGATGGTGTTGGCTCCACGTGTGACAAGGATAATGTCAGGTTAGTTAGGAGGCGGTTCGATTGGCACACAACTCAACCGTGCAGAGGCCGCGCGCCGTAGCACGCTCCAAGTCCGCATCGGCGCTTCTCATAGCCTAGTTAACACGGACATATTAGCGGAGAACCCGAGCAAGCCGCAAGCCGCGAGCCGCTAGTCTCGAGTTGCACGTGATGCTGTCCCCTCGGTCAGGTGAGCCACATGCGGCCCTCTGTATACTCAAAAGGCGGCGTTCCAGAGAGCGACTTGCTAAGTTGCAGGCAGCGACTTTTACGTTTTAGGGAGCGACTTGTTAAGTTTCACGGAGCGAGTTTTAAGTTTCACGGAGCTACTTCTGAAGTTTCAGGGAGCGACTTTTGAAGTCTCAGGGAACGACTATTGAAGTTGAAGTTATCGACGTTCGAGTCCCGAGGGCGCTTTCATCACACACGCTGTCGCAATCAAGCGTCTTTCCTCGTAGCCCGACTGCGTTCCCCAGTCCCATGCCCCCCTTCCCGGAAGGGCCTTCCCTACCCGATCTCACACCGCACCACCCATTCCCCGCTTCCCCTCTTTTCCCCGCCCATGCCCCTCCCCCATATAACCCCCAACAGCCCCCCCCCCCCCCCCCCCCTCCCCCCCCCCTCCTCCTCCTCGTGCTGCTCTTTCCTTTCCTCGCATCGCCCACCTGTTTAACTCGACTCTGAAGTCCTCCCATACCGTCCCATCCCCACTCTTCCCCTCCACCCCCGCTTCCCAATACCCCCCCCTCCTCCTCGCGAGTCCCACTCTTTTGACTCGACTCTAAAGTCTTCCCATAATCCCCCCCTTCCCCTCCCCCCCGCCCATGTCACGGAACCCCAGTAACCCCACGACAGCCCGCCTCCTCGTCGTGCTGCTCCTCCCTCTGCTCCTCGCGTGCCCCAATCTCACGAACGCTCAATCGACCCCTTACGATCCGTTCTTGGATTACATTCAAGGCGTTTTGAACGGTTCAATTCCCGTGGGGAAGATTGACTGTGAGTGCTTTCCTGCGCATACCCCTTCTCCCCCTCTGCTCCTCGCGTGCCCCTCCCTCACAAACGCTCAATCGGCCCCTTACGGCTCGATTCCCGTGGGAAAGATCGACTGTGAGTACTCTGCTGCGCTTACCCCATCTCGCCCCCACCCCACCTCCGTCACCTCACTACCAGTCACTCAATTACTCACTCACACACCCTTCCCACTTTCCGCATCACCTTTTCTTGCTTCCCTGCAGCCTTGCTCTTCACCCAGGCCAACAGGTACAACCTCGCTCTCAGCAACAGCCTGTCCAGATACGCCTCCCCCACTAAGCTGCGTCACTCACTCCCTCTCCCACTTCTTGTTCCCCCTCTTCTTGCTCCCCTGCAGCTCTTCTCTTCACACAGGCCAATAGGTACAATCTTGCCCTCAGCAACAGCCTGTCCAAATACGCCTCCCCCACTAACCAGCCTGCTCCAGTTGCCACCTCCCGCCCCTCCTCCTCCTCCTCCTCCTCCTCCTCCTCCTCCTCCTCCTCCTCCTCCTCCTCCTCCTCCTCCTCCTCCTCCTCCTCCTCCTCCTCCTTTCACCCCTCCTCCCTCTCCTCCTCCTCCTCCTCCTCCCCCTCCTCCTCCTCCTCCTCCCCCTCCTCCCCTTCCTCCCCGTCCTCCTCCTACACCTCCTTTCGGACCAGCAGCTCGCGCCCTCTGCTGCATTCCTCCGGACCCCCCTCAAGAGCTACAATATCCAGCACACCTACAGTAACACCATATACAACTTCCAATTTCTTTAGATCATTCCAAGGCAACCGGTTTATCGGGTACAGCATCAGCAGCATTCGGAACAGCATTCAATGGCTGAGCAGCAATAACACAGCCAGCGCTGCTGCCAGAGGGAAGCTGAAAGCCATCCTCGCGTTTTTCAGGCAGCCAAGGGCTCAAAAGGCGTTGGGAGGGACAAGTGAGGCGCTCTTTATAGCGCCGGACGCGAGCGTGACTAGAGTGAGCGCGAGCCAGTACCAGATTCAGGATCATAGTGAACGGGATGGGGACGTCAGGGAAGGCAGGGATGATAATGGTGATGATGACGTGTGTTACGCGCCCACTGGAAACGTGCGGATCATCAAATATACGTAAGTACACGAATTTTGTTCAGCATCCCCCAAAACCTCTCCCCTTCCCAACCCACCATCCATTGCCCCTCCCTCCCCAATTTTTTCTCTCTCTCCTTACTCGCGTGTTTTCCCCTCTCTATCGATGAGCACACATTTCATTTTACAGGTTTTCTGCTTTGTCGCTACCCTGCCGCTCTCCAGTGTAACACTTTTTTGCCTCCCCTACCCTGCGGCTATTCCTTCTGTCACTTGCCCTCCTCCAGGACTCCCGAAAACGTCTCATACGTCAAATTCTATGTAAACAGCAAATGCCTACCCAACGTGCAGAAAGTGGAGATTCGTAACGCACAATACGGGCAAACGGGGCCGCTTGTAATGGAGGTCCCTGGCTCTTGGTGGCTGATAGACAGCGACGAGGAGGAGGTGATTATACATACGTTTATCACGAATGCAGCATCGGTTACAGTTGCTAATGGACAAGACATGGATACCGCGATTAACGCGATGACGAAAAGACCCTGGGAGTATTATGCGGTATTTACGTCGAGCAGTAAGCCGAGCGGGGAGATGCGGGGGCAATTTTGGAAGCCGTTTTGCCCATGGTGTGCCAATTTGACCTTTACAGGATCCTCTTGATAGAAGCGATTACATGTATTATAGGGAGTCGGTTGGTAATAATAGGGTGTCCGTTCCTAACAGGGGCTTACTAATCAGTGGGGCACTTCTTGTGCTACTCTGGGATGTACTATTACCCAAATTCATTATGATACCAGGGCTGGAATGTTTAACAAATTGTTGTGAACTTGCTTCACCACCAACCAGAGTCTCCAGCTAGGTGTACCCGCTATAGAGCGAAGACTTTAATTCATTCTGCCCTCATCATCGTCCCAAATGGCCAACCAGTGGCGCCACGTAACTCACAGTAGGATAAGGTGCGGCAGTACCCGAAGCGCGTGTTCCACGCCTACGCTTCCTGCCAACCAAAGCAGGATTACCGGTACATCCTGCGTTCCACTCCTCATTCCCGCAGCAGCCGAGGCTAACTAAACGGTCCGCGCAGGTTGCCTTTCGCACGATTTTCCGCTTCAATTACACGAATTCGGTGCTTTAGAGTTATCTCTCAATCGCGTATCGCACAATGGCGACATTGCTGCGCCTGAAGGCCGCCATTCTCCCGTCGCCTGTAGCGTCAACGGCGGTATCCGGAGTCGCATCCCACCCGCGCAGCGCGCTCCTCGGTACCTCGCATCCGCTTGTGCTGTCGCGAGCAACCTCGTCCGTCGCATTCAGTCGCACGACTTTCGCCGCTGGTCGAGCGACTTTGCCTGCGACCACGCTTTTCTCCGGCACGAGAAAACCGCTGTCTGGTTCGGTTCCCACCCTACGACGTAGGGCAGTTAGCCGAGCCTCGTCCGCAGCTTCGGGGACGACAGGCTCCGGGGCCAATGTAGCGGCGAGTGCGACGGCGTCTACGGTTTCCGAGCCCGCGACGGAGGTCCGGGATGCAGGCTCGGCGCCGCAGAGCGCGTCGAACCTGGGAGGGTTCGAGTTTCCGGTGATTAAGGAGGCGAAGCGGGTGGTGCTGGTGCGACACGGGGAGAGCACGTGGAACGCGACGGGCAGAATTCAGGGCAGCTCGGACTTTTCCGTGCTGACCGCGAAGGGCGAGAGCCAAGCGGAGACGAGCCGGCAGATGCTCGCGGCAGACTCGTTCGATGTGTGCTTCCATAGGTGACTAGCCCCACGCTCGCTTGCTTTCGCGGGTTAGTAGCCCCGTCCTCGCCTTGAACATTCACTTCCGCACATCAATAATGCCTCCTATGCTATGCTTCCCTTCATGGTCTCATGCTTCGTCTTCTCCTCCTTCCCCCTTTTCTCCGTCCCCGCCTCCATTCTCATTGCCATTGTTTTCGGGCAGCCCGTTGCAGCGGTCCGCGCGGACAGCGGAGGTTATTTGGGCGGCACGCACGGCACCCATGATCCCGCTGCACGATCTGAGGGAGATTGATTTGTACTCGTTTCAGGTAGGCTCGATAAGACTGACTGATTGTCCTGTACTCGTTACAGGTAGAATATTAAAGAGGATATTGATCGCTGTTTTTTGGAATATCCAGTCGTATTGCACACCCATTGCACACCCCACCCCACCCCACCCTACCCTACCCCACCCCGCTGCACACCCCACTCCACCCCCATCGATTTTTTCCGACCTCAGGGGCTGTTTAAGGAGGAGGGCTAGGCGCGCTTTGGCGAGAACTATTGCATTTGGCAGAAAGACGCGGCTAACTTCGAGATTGACGGGCAGTACCCCGTGAGGGAGCTGTGGGCGCGGGCAGCTAGACCCCCCTAAACCAGACCACCGTTCTGCACCACTGCACACCCCACTGCACCCTCAGGGGCTATTCAAAGAGGAGGGGAAAGCACGGTTCGGTGAGAACTACCGCATGTGGCAGAAGGATGCAGCTAACTTCGAGATCACTGGTTATTCACTGTTCACGACCCCACCCACCCCCTCTGTTCTCCGCCCCAGGGATTGTTCAAGGAAGAGGGGAAAGCACGGTTTGGCGAGAACTACCGCATGTGGCAGAAAGACGCGGCGAACTTTGAGATTGACGGGCACTACCCCGTGAGGGAGCTGTGGGCGCGGGCAGCGGCGTGCTGGCAGGAGATCCTGAGGAGCGAGGGGCGGTCCAAGCTGGTGGTGGCACACAATGCCGTCAACCAGGCCCTCGTGGCCACTGCCACAGGTGGGGTGGGTGTGCACGTGTGTGTTTGTGAGAGGGAGAGAGAGCAGCGGCATGCTGACAGGAGATCCTGAGGAGCGAGGGGCGGTCGGTGCTGGTGGTGGCACACAATGCCGTCAACCAGGCTCTCGTAGCGACCGCCACAGGTGCGCTGTGTGTGCGAGCGTGTGTGTGCGTGGGTGCATGTGTGCGTGAGAGAGTAGCGGCGTGCTGGCGGTCCGTGCTGGTGGTGGTGCACAATGCTGTTAAACAGGCTCTCGTAGCGACCGCCACAGGTGCGCTGTGTGTGCGAGCGTGTGTGTGCGTGGGTGCATGTGTGTGTGAGAGAGTAGCGGCGTGCTGGCAGGAAATCCGAGGAGCGAGGGGCGGTCCGTGGTGGTGGTGGTGCACAATGCTGTTAAACAGGCTCTGGTGGCCACTGCCACAGGTGGGGTGTGAGGTGGCTCAAATCTCGGTCTTTAGGTGCCTGAGTGTGCCTGAATTTGCCATAAAGCGCCTGGATGTTCCTATCTGCATGAATGTGCCTGAATGTGCCTGAATGTGCCTGAATGTGCCTGAATGTGCCTGTATGTTCTTGTATGCACCTGAATGTGCCTATGTGCACGAAAGTGCATATGCCTGAATGTGGATAAATGTGCATGATTGTGTGTGAATTTTCACGACTGCGCATGAATGTGTGTGAATGTGCATGAATTTGCCTAAATTTGCATTAATGTTCATGAATGTGCATTCACTGTGCAAAAATCCCTTCTCCTTCAGTCTTTTCCGCTCTCCCCTTATCCTTCCCAAAATCCACACAACCCCCCACTTTTTCCAGGCCTGTGTCCGGAGTATTTCCGCCTCTTGCTGCAGAGCAACTGTGGCGTCAGCGTCCTGGACTTTGTCCCCCACTACAAACCACACGTGATGAGACGTTTTCTGAAGTGCTTCAGTAACCTTCCCCCGCCCTCCTCCCCCCGCATTCCCCCCCCCCCCCCCAGGCCTGGGTCCGGAGTATTTCCGGCTCTTGCTGCAGAGCAACTGCGGCGTCAGCGTGCTGGACTTTGTCCCCCACTACAAGCCGCACGCCCACACTCACACTCCTGACGAAGCCGTCCCTCCGTACAAGGCGCACGACTACAGTCACACTCACAGTGACGTGCCTGTGGATGCTTCTGCTGCTGCCGCTGGTGTGGCAGACGGGGGCGTGGAGGGAGAGGAGTATTTGCTGCCCTATGTGTGCCTGAACCGGCTCAACCAGGTGTGTGTGGCAGCAGAAGAAGGGTGAGAAGCAGGTGAGAAAGAACCAGCAGGCTCACAGAGGTACTCATGGAGGGAGAGGAGTATTTGCTGCCCTATGTGTGCCTGAACCGGCTCAACCAGGTGTGTGTGGCAGCAGAAGAAGGGTGAGAAGCAGGTGAGAAAGAACCAGCAGGCTCACAGAGGTACTCATGGAGGGAGAGGAGTATTTGCTGCCCTATGTGTGCCTGAACCGGCTCAACCAGGTGTGAATCCGTGTCATCAACCAGGTGTGAATCCGTGTCATCAACCAGGTGCGAATCTGTGTCATCAACCAGGTGTGAATCGGTGTCATCAACCAGGTGTATGTAAGGCGTGTATCTGCTTCTGCGTCTTCTTACTCAGGACTCGAGCCACCAGGTGAGTGAGAGCCAGCAGGCTTACACTCCTTCTGACGAAACCGTCCCTCCATACAAGGCACACGACTACAGTCACACTCACAGCGACACCAGTGCCGCAATGGTGGATGCTGCTTTTGCTGCTTCTGCTGCTGCTGGAGCACAAGCAGGCGTGGAGGGAGAGGGATATATGCTGCCCTATGTGTGTCTCAACAGACTCAACCAGGTTTGACTCCCTTTGAAAGCTTTCTTGCATTTTGAATCTGCTTCCGGCTTCTGCTCACCGCTCCCCCACCTCCAAATTCCCCCTCCCCCCTCCCCTGCTCCCCCCCTCCCCTGCTTTCCCCTCCCCTGCTCTCCCGTCCCCTGCGCCTCCTGCAGACCCCTGCACCACCCGTGATGACCGGAGGCGCTTCAGGCGGAAGAAAAGCCGAGGCTCGAGTGATTCTGGTGTGCCACAGGGACACCAGCAGCTCAGCGCAGCGCCGCTTCCCCCAGTCCCCGTATGAGCAGCTGAGCATGCTGGGACCCACAGGCACTCCTCACTCACCGCAGGCGCGCAAGACAGCCGAGCTGCTGCTGGACGTGCGAGTTGACACGGTCTTCTGCTCACTCCTTCCCCACCTCCCCTTACTCCCTTACTGTCCTCCCTACCCCTCTGCGCCCGTCCAGACCCCCGCTCCGCCTGTGATGACCGGAGGCGCTTCAGGCGGGAGAAAGGCCAAGGCTCGAGTGATCCTGGTGTGCCACGGCGACACCAGCAGCTCTGCCCAGCGCCGCTTCCCCCAGTCCCCGTTTGAGCAGCTGAGCATGCTAGGGGTGGTGCAGGCGCGCAAGACAGCCGAGCTTCTTCTCGACGTGCGTCGACACCGTCTTCTGCTCGCCACTCCCCTCACCCCTCTCGTTTCCCCTCCTCCCTGTCCCCCATTCTGCTTCCCCCTTCTCCCTGCGTCTCCTCCAGACCCCCGCGCCTCCCGTAATGACAGGAGGGGCGTCAGGAGGGAGGAAGGCCAAAGCTCGTGTAATCCTGGTGCGCCACGGCGACACCAGCAGCTCTGCCCAGCGCCGCTTCCCCCAGTCCCCATTTGAGCAGCTGAGCATGCTAGGGGTGGTGCAGGCGCGCAAGACAGCCGAGCTTCTTCTCGACGTGCGAGTCGACACGGTCTTCTGCTCGCCGCTGCCCCGCGCTGTGCGCACAGCCGAGGCAGTGGTGGAGGTGCAGGAGGCAGCGGAGTGCCTGGGCGCCGACTGTGTGCCGCGGTTTGTGGACATAGTCCCAGTGGAGGAGCTCAGGGAGTTGGAGTACGGCACATGGCAGGTGAGCGAGGGTTTGTGCTCTGTGAGCTTTGTGCTCTTTTGAGGGGACTCCAAGGCTCCGTGCTGTGCGCACGGCAGAGGCGGTGCAGGAGGCTGCGGAGTGCCTGGGCGCCGACTGTGTGCCACGATTTGCCAATGTGGCGCCTTGGTTACATAGTCTCTCACCATTTATCACTCTTGTACGGGCCTGCTTCATGTCTCTATTAGTGATTCGGTTTTCCTCCTCACAACTCATCGTTCTTACGATTTCCTTTGCACCACCCACTCTCTTCAGGGAGCAATGATGGCAGAGGTATCAGCACACGAGCGCTGGGAGGATCAAATCAAGTCTTCTCCCCCGCCCAACGGAGAATCTCTGCCGTCCCTGTGGGGCCGCGCTGAGAAGGCATGGACTGTCATTCGCCGCCACCTGGCAGAAGTGGAACGCGCCACCTCAGCAAGCGCAGGTGCTGACATGGCAGCAGCTAAAGGAGCAGGACCAGGAAGTCCCCCTACTGAGCGATCTGAAACTGTTATTGTGGTGGGCCATGAAACAGTGTTTCAAGCAATGCTTGCTTCCTGCCTGAAGCTTCCTCATGATGCTCTGGGAAGCTTCCGCCTCGACCCTGGGAGCATCACTGTCGTCGATTTCCCCGATGGCGTTGGTGAGCCCAAGGATAGTAGCGAGTCTGACAATAAGGGGTACAGTGCAGCAGGAGCAGCAGCAGCAGGGCAGGGAATTGCAGCAGGAGTGGTGGGGCAGGGTGTATTAACTACACTGCTCACTTGGGAAGATGGGCCGTGCCCGTCACCCTGCCTACGTCCAATGACGAGGACTTCTGATCTAATTATATAAGTGGACCATTTTCTTTCATCTTTTATTTTTTATCCTGTAAAGTCACAACCAGGTTCTTATCATACTACCAGTTTTCTGATTGTGGATGGTACCGTATGAAGATGTGCCACTACTTCATCTTTCAAGTGGTGAGAGTGTAATATAGATTATGTCATCACATTAATTAGCCAACCACATTGGCTGAAACGTACACAGCAGCTCTCAAGTGTAACATCAGTTACAACATGCAACAACAGCCATGCAAACATAACTACAAACAGAGCCATGCCAGGCAGGCAACATCCCACCACCAGCATGGGTCAATCCCACCCTATCCAACCCCAACCTCCCAACCAGACCTACTCAACCGAACCTTTCCATTCAGCTGTAACCCACCCTTCCAGAGTTCCCCTACATGCACAGATGTGCTGACCTTGGTCCGGACATTCTTGGGTGGGTGCAGTCAGCAGCACCAGTGATGACCATAATACCACGACAGATTATGCCATGCTCATATCCTCCTCGACGGTGCCCCGTCGGCCCACTTGAAATCTTACCCTGACGAATAAAACAATCAGAACCCCCAGAACCGCCTCCAACCACACTGTATCCAGTGTATCTCTCTCCTTATCCAGGCTTAGGTCCCACACATCCCAGCCGGTGCACTGGAGCTTTCTCTCTCCATTTCCAACGCGAGAAGAGATGGCCAGAGTGAGTTGAACTCATGTTCGCGACGGGATGGGGTCTTGTTGGGAAACAGGCACAGGCATGGGAACGTGCACGGGCACGGAGGCAGGAGGAGCAGGGGCAGGGGCGAGGTGATGACCAGCTGGGGCTTGCGCGGGAGGGGCGGATGATCCGTTGTTTGTCACCTTCCTGTAATGATGGAATGTGGAGGGAGAGGGAGGGGGTGACACAGGAAACAGAGCGCTGGTTTAAGGGCGAGGGCGAGTGAACATGAGGAGCAGGTGCAGTTATGGGGGAAAAACGGGCAGATCATGCCTGAGTGGGAAGGCTGGTTGGCTGACAGGCCCATGTAGTAACTGGAAAAAGGCTTACTAGATAGCAATTCCTGTTCAATTTCATATAGCTCACTACTTCACACTCAAGATAGCAGTAATTCCAACATCTCAAAACTGACAGCCAAGACAGGCAAAGCTACACGCTCAAGCAGCATTAGAAACGACAACAGGTAACGGAACAAGGGGAGCGGCGGCAGCAACAGTAACAGCACCAACAGCAGCACCAGCAGCAGCAGCAGAATCTAACCTTGCAACAGGGCTGGATCCTCGGGGATGGGCCTCCCACCCAGGATGACTCGCCAGCCACCCGACCAGGTTCTTCAGCATAGGAGCCGCCTGCCCGCTCAGTTTCCTCCCCTCCTTGGGATTCCACACCGTCACTCGCTCCTCCTTCCCTACATCTACCAGCTCTCCCACTCTCCGCTCCAGCTCCTGCGCGCCTTCCGGAAGCTTCCGCTTCAGGCACCTAAAGTGCGCGTTTTCCGTGCCGCACCCGGCCTTTTTAATCACCGCGCACACCTCGCACCGCCGGCCCTCCACGCGCGACCGAGGCGCGCCCGACGCGGCCTTCATCGGCGGAGCGCCTGGGGCGCCGGGACCGCCGGGTTTATCCATCCGCTGCCGTTTCTTACCGACGAACGACGAGTCTCCAACGGCTTCGGGCATTCCGCCGGGACCGTTAGGCATGGGGGGACCGCCGGGCATGCCCCCGTGGTGGGGCGGCTGGTGCTGGTGCTGCGGGTGCTGTTGCTGGTAACCCCCCATCTGCCCCCCTTGCTGCACCATGCCGTTTTGCTGGTGGTGGTAACCCGCCTGCTGTTGATGCTGATGTGGCATCTGCTGCTGCTGCTGCTGCTGCTGATTCTGCATCGCGCCGCCCGGCTGCATCTGACCGTTACCGTCTTCTCCGACGACTTGCATCACCCACGAGTTGCCGGCCGTCCCGTTCATTCCCTGTCCGTTCTGCTGGTTAACCATTCCGTTCGGTGGAGCGTACATGCTGCCGTCCTGCTGCACGTACTGTTGCTGTTGCTGCGGCGGCGGCGGTTGCTGCTGGTACTGCTGCTGTTGAGGCGGCATCGGTTGTTGTTGATATTGCTGCTGGTACTGCGGCGGCTGCTGCTGCTGCTGGTATTGCTGTGGCTGTTGTTGATACTGCGGCTGCTGCTGCTGGTATTGCGGCTGCTGCTGATACTGCTGCTGTGGATCTTGTCCCGGCTGCGCGTATTGCACGTGACCTTGCTGTTGGTTCGGGTCGCCGTTCGCGACGGCGACCGTTCCATCTGCCGGGTAGCCGGCTGAATTTACCTGAGCGTCTCTGACCGCAATAACAATAGCCTCGTTTGCGTTTTCCAGAAATCCTTTGGCGTATTGCGCGTGGCTCGGGCTCTGATTCAGAAAAGGCTCGCAGATGGAATTTAGATCCATTAGCATTTCTGGTAGCGTGTAGGCGGGACTGAGGGCCTTTTGTCGGATCAGACTGCAACGGGACAGAAGAGGCACAAGCAGGAAGGCGATGAGCACATGCAGGATAGGGATGGCGGGAGGTGATACGCCGAAGAAACAACGGCTGAAAGGAACAAGATCTGACTTAGCGATAAATCGAATATATTAGAAAGACAAACCAGGAACTGGAACTTTAAGAAATTTAGCTTCCTCGTCAAAGCCGGCATGGTGGCATCAGGCGGGCAGGCCTCGTGCAGGAAAAAAAAAATAGAAGCCGTCCACGACGACGAGAACAGAGCCTTACCTAAGATTAAGAACAGTGCCCGTATCAGCTAGCATGGCGCCGGGTTCAAGAATAAATCTCTCCGTGTCGAGCTTTGCGATTTCTTCAAGAAGCAACGCCATCTGATGCGGCGTCATCGGGATGGGATTGCCTGCATACTCCTCCGTTTGCCCTTGTTGATCAGGAGCCGACATGATGACGACTCCTTAAACTGAAATGATTCTAGTAGTAACGGAAACGCCGAGATCTGGGTCAAAACCGCGATCGAAGAACCTGCAGAGAAAAGGAAAAAAACGGGGTGAAAATGAACGATGGTCAGGCGAAACCATTCCTGGAAAAAAATAGGGGCTGACCAGCAAACAGAAAAGCACACCAAATGCTTCAACTAGTAAAGATCTAGGTCTCAGGTCTCGAAGGCCAAAGCTCCAGCGCGTCACAATAAACAGATCCCTAGAACAGCCAGCCGCCATGGCGATCGATTAAACAAAATAAACATACAAATTAGAGGCGCCGGCTAATTTCTGAAGTTGGAATAAGCAGCGGATAACGCGGGTCGGTGGGTGCACTGGGAGCCAAGGGTCTTCCCTCAGAGTCGCCAAGGGAGAGGGAGGGAGGGGGTTGGAGGAGCGTTTCTCTCAAGCGAGCCGCTGTTGGCGTTCGGGGTCGCTTTGTGAGAAGTCGAGTCGACTCGTTGGGGTTTTTCAAGTGGAGCCTGGCTGGGCTGGAGTCGGGTGGATGGAGGAACCGAGGAATGGGATGGGGGGGATGCGCTGTGGTGCAATCCCTAGGCATCCCCAGTGTCCCCCAAAGTCTCCGAGTCCCCGCTCCCAGAGTTCCCCCAACTTGCCGGGTCCTTGGCTTCCCGAATCCTCCTGACTCCGGAAGCCCCTATCCCCTTCCTCGCAGGTGCTAGAGCGTTTCCCCTTTCCCCCGAGCGCGCGGGTGCCCCCAAGTCCCGAAGGACCAAAATTGGCTCGAGTCCCCGCTTCATCCCCCAGCCTGAGCGGAATTGGATGGATGGATGGAGGTGCCGAACGCGCACATCCAAAACCCCCACACCACCCTCACTCATCTCCCTTGTTGGGTGGTCACACGCACCATGAATTCAACCAACTCAGATACTGGTTTGGGAGATTTTGGTCAGGTTGTTTGGTTTGGTTGGATGGTATGGCCTGCTGGTGGTTGGCTGGCTCGGGTAGGTCGTTGGCACAGAGATTTCGCCTCGGGATCGTCTTGCGGGTGTTGTGTGTTTGTGGACGGTCCGATAGGGACGAGTGGAACACGGAGATACTGCCCGTGGCCATAATTCTCAATCGGACAGTGGGAGGTGATGGCTGAGGATATGCGTGGACGGTCCGATGTGAACCTAATCGGCAGCGAAACATCACTGGTCTGGAAAGGGGTTCGGCAACGAGGCTCATATTCGGTGAGGTTCGAGGTACTACAAACGTCAATGGCTGTCATGCTGGGAGAGGAGGAGGTGACGTGGCACATCTCGATATGATCAGGGGATTTGCCTTGCGCGAGATACAAGGACGAGACACGCGCGGAGCACTTGTGCGCACCGCGGAGCCCGTTTCGCGTGCTTTCCTCGAGCGCTTCGGTTGTTGGCGCGGCCAAGGGGTTCCCCTGTTGCCGCCTTGAGAGGAGGTTTAGATTTCGCATTCGTAAGGCGACGTTTGCGACATTCGCAATCGTAACCGAAGCTAATGTTCAGCTTCGACGTGAAAAAAACGTCGCCACAACTGCTTCCCGAGGCTCGATTTGTTCGCACAATAGCCACGACTGTGCTTTGGCCTTGAAGGAGCCAATTGCAACGCACATAGAGTCGCAAAGGTTCGTGGAGACTTGAAGCTTGCGTGGCTTGGGATGACACTGACGAATCGCTACTGCTCGGTCAGGTTGAAATCTCTCTTTTCCAGCCCAACAACCAGAACGCCGCTCGCGCGAATTCATACATGTTAGGTAGAGCCGCGTGTTGTTCTGGAAGTTGCACTGATATCGCGCATACCGCTCTGAAAGGCAGCACACCTATAAGAACCGAGATGCGTTGCAATTGCATGAACAACAAACAACAAAATTAGGGTAATTCAACCTTCGTACGAATTACAAACAACTCCCTCACAAATTCCATGCCTCTACATTTCCCCATCATAAGCGTCTGGAAACCCGTTTATAGGATAAATTTACCAATTCAGTTATTCTCACTGAAAAAAAGAAGCTTGTGGAGCACAGTTCTCCACCTTCATAAGCTAACCCAACAAGACTTG